TTTCCATACCCTAATGCTTCATCTCCAAATTGCATTGTCTCAGTACATTTTGTAAAAGTACTCCATCTAGGAAAGTCATCTCCTGTAAATCCTGCTCTTGTATAGAGATTACCAATGTCTGCAACAACAGATATTATTTCATCGCTATTCATTAAAAATAAAAATAATAATATGCTTAAAGTACACGAATTCTTTTCAGTAGCCACTCAATTAGCCTATAATGCAGCAATAATTATTAATCAAATAAGATTATCTGCTGATATTGGTTAGTAATGGAAAGGAATTGATGATCCAGTCACTATTGCTGATGTTAAAGCCTAAACTTATATTATTTAATAATTGCATAAACATTGGTAATTTTAATCATTTAATATACAAGGCCATAATTAAAGATAGTTGGAGAAGAAACTACTGTATATGATTAACCAATAGATTTACCTGATACTAATTGCAATCTATATACTGAAGAAATCTTTACTACAACACCTAACAATCTTAAGGTTAGAACACAATATGAAATAGAAGATCTTTGTGTATGGGTTGATCCTTTAGATGGAACACTTGATTTTGTTTAAGGTGATTTTGATTGTGTCACCACTTTGATTGGTTTATCTTATAAGAAAAAAGCTTTAATTGGAATTATCTCCTAACCATTTGTTAAAATTGCTGATAAATAATATGAATTTAAACCTAAGATATATTTTGGTCATCATCCATAAAGAAGAGTTTTTTATACATATGATACTCAATCATAGATTCCCTTTGAACTTTTAAAACCATCTTATGATCCTAAAAATATTGTATTGTGTACACAAAATAAAAGGATAGATGAAACAAAATTAGAAAAAATAAAATCACTTGGATGTTCATTACTTTAAATGGGAGGATCAGGTAAAAAAAGTCTTACAATATTGGAATCTAAAGCAGATTTATATCTATATCTTGGTGTTAGGATGAGTAAATGGGATATATGTGCACCTGATGCCTTATTTTAAGCATTTGGAGTATTAAATTATTATTGATTGATTTAGGGTCGTTTTGTAGGATTAGAAGGATAAATTTATGAATACAATTCTGAAGATAAGATATATGATAATCCATATGGTCATTTAGCAAGTATTCATAATGAATTAGTGGATAAATTCCTACCAAAAACCACTGGAATGTTATGAAAGTATTAAATATCAACAATATATACATATATTTGATTTATTATATAAATAAGGATTTATAAATGATATTAATTTTAGTTATAATCTATAAATTCATTTTGATATTCTTATAAATAAGATTATTTCATATTTTACAGAATATTTAGAAGAGAATATAATTGTTTAAAATAGAGAAATAAATGAATATAATATAAAAATTAATTTATAACATATTTAATTTCAAATTTTATATTTATATAACAAACACCAATCTATGAGTGATTATTAGATAAAATACTAAGAAATCAAAGGAAGTTTAACTATTCTTATGTAATAAAATAATGTTCTTAAATAATAACTTAAAGAAGCATGTGAAGAATTATAAGAAAAATAAATGTTAAAAGATGAATGGGCAGAAGAAGTGTAGAGAGTATCAGAAACAATAAATTAATTATAAAATGATAATTATAGTAATTATTAAATTATATATTAGATTTATAATAGGATAATGAATAATTGTAAAGAAACTGTACAGAATCTAAATACTTAATTGAATAATAAATTGAATAAATTACTATTTTAAAGGATTAGAATGAAATCTTAGCTAATTAATTGGATTAATAAAGATAATAGAATTTATAAAAGGAATTATATATAAAATAATAGAGAGATGATAACATTAAATAAATTGAATAATTACAATAATAATAATTAGAAGAAATTAAAAAATTATAGGGTATTATAGATAATCAAAGTGGTCTAATATAATCTTATGAGAAATTAAATGAGATTGAGAAATAGGATACTTAACATATAAAATAACAAAATTATATTTAATTTGAAGATTAACTTATTGAATTGAAAAATAGAAATATAATTCTTCAAAGTAAAATAAATGAAGAAAAATAGAGATATGATTTATTATATGAATAACATAAAGATGAAGTATAAAAATTATAAAGTGTAATTAAAGAATAAAAGGAATTATTGTGTCAATATGAAAGAATTATAGAAAGAGATAAAAGCTAACATAATACTCCTGTTCATCTTTAATATGAAATTACACAACCTTAGTAAATGAAACAAATAATATAATCTATTCCATAATAAACCTTATATTCATAGCCTAATCTTAATTAAAATATCTATTAATAAACTCTAGTATCACCTGTACTTTAAGATAAATGTAATCAACCATCATCAACCTATTTACATACATAACAAAGTTATGCTCAACCTATTATGTAAAGACCACCAAAAACATTTTTTACTAATAATAAAATAAATCATCAATTATAATAATAGATATCAAGAGATAAATAAAATTCAAAGGAATATCACTAAAAACGTAGTTTTAATTTTGATGATGATGAGGAGGAAGATAATAAAAATATAGAGAAAGAGTTTTAAGAAGAATTCTTGAATAAATTTTAGAATGTAATAGGAAGAATGGAGAATAAATTATATTAAATGTAAAATGAACTCAATTTTTCAGGGATTTCAGATAAACCAAAAAAATTAAAATGATTAAATTATAAATTATAAATTAATATAATAATTAATATCATGATTTCAAACTACCAGAACTTTGATAAAAATCATAAATTAAAGAAATGTTATCAACAAAATATTTAATATATGGTTTGTATAATTCTCCATAAATTTTAACTACCATTTCCCAACCATGTTCTACTAATATACAAGCTGCTACACTCTCCCATAGATCACTCATTATTTTTGGAATTTATAATGAATATTAATTGATTTTTCTAAAATCATTAAATTGATCTTCTCTTAATAATTTTAATGCTTTATTTAAATCTTTTTAAGTTTCTCTTGATAGATTTCTTGCATATTAATGAAAATTATGGTACATAGCCATTGTACCCATAAATCCTCTATCAAGTAATGATATTTTAGCTGTATGTAACATTCCTGGACAAAGTAACAATTTCTAATTTATTTTACCTTCACGACATAATTATTATTATCTTGAATTATAGTATACTTTTTCACATTCTTTATGAACATTCACAATTACTAATAATTCAAGTATTGCATCACCAAAAAATTCTAATCTTTCAAATTAATCAACAGTCATAGCTTCAGCAATATTATTTAATTAACATCCTAAATAATCTTCAAATTCTTTAAAAGGTTAATTAAATTTTAAGATTTCTGTAAATGGTCTTTTTTATATTTATTTTTTTAAAGGATAATCATTATCATTATCTGTATCTTAAGAATTATTAGAGAAATCAATCAAAGAATTACCATTATAAAATTATTAAACCTTCCCCTTAAATTCAAATTTTGTTAATTTAAAAAAATCCATCAAATCTTTAAATTCATAATTTTTAATATAACAAGCTCCACATAATGCTTCATATATATCTGCTTATTATTTTTGAGATAATTTTGGATCCTCTTATTCATTAATAATCATCATCATATGATTTAAAAATTTCTTAGAATTTATTTTAAAATTCATAGTATTCAATTTAAGTTTTCCAAAGATTCCACTTAAATGTTTATTTGTTATTAAACGAACTCTTGCTGAAGACAAACTATTTTCTGTTTTATAAGTATTATCTTCAAATAACATTGCAGATGTTAAATACTTAATTACAACATCACCTAACATTTCTAAATTTTGATAATTTCTTTGTGGATTGAATGAAGGACAAGAAATAGCTTCTTCAATTCTATCTATATTGGCTAATCTATCAATTTAATAAGTAGCATTCTATGCATTTGCTATAAATAATAATTGACAAATCAAATGTGAAAATGTTCTACTAACTAAATCCATAAATTTTATTGATAGGGGATATTTAAATAATGAACTTTATCCAGAGAAAAAAATCTATTAATTATTTGAAGATAATAAAGTGCATTTATTTCCATCTTCACAATTTTAACAAACTAAACTTATATTAGTATAATATATTACAAATTTTTACAAAATCAGCATTTTGATGAATCTAATTAAAACCCTTTATTTGTTACAATATATAGAATTTATTATCCTAAGTATTGTAACTAAAGTTCTTTCTAATTAATTGAATAAAATAAGCAGAAGGTTGTTAATTTTTACCTTACAAGAAATCCAATAGTGTACCTTTTATATTATCTAATAGAAAAATTTATTGAATTTCATTAATATCTTAATAGATATGATTGTCAATTAAATAATAGAAATAATCAATTAATTAAGTAGTTTTATCAAATTAAAATTGAATATTACAAACTCTATAAGGATTTGTAGTGTAAACAAGAATATCATATTTAGGTTATGGTTATATACATTCATTTTTTAATGCTAATTTGCTTTCCAAAAATTCATATATTTAATCAAAATTTATACTATAAACTCCAGGAACCACTAAGATATTAATTTATGGTAAAGGATTTGGAGTTATAAATGTCTAAAAGTTTCGAGCATTGATAGGTTAAGATTATGTTTTATTTGTCAAATATAAATCACCAAATAATAAAATGTTGAAGCTAACAATTGATTTAAATTAATCTATAGATATCATTAATTTCTAAGAAACTCTATATCGAGGACGAATAGTTGAACTAAATACAATGAAACCTTTAATGATAGTAATAAAAATATACTTTATTGACTATATTCAATTGGACTAGGAGATAGAAGAATTAACATTTAATTATCAATCTCAAAGTAATTGAGATATATTAGTACATTTTAATTATCCTCAAAGGTTGTATAGTGAGATGATATTTAAGGTGGCATTTATCCAAAAAATTAAACAGAAGGTATATCTGCCATATATTTATATATTTATAAAAATAATTTAATGAAAATTTAGAAGATAAATATAATCATCTCAGTTTATTTTTCAAAAAGAATTATTATACTAAATAGATATCTTCTCTATTTAAATTATTATTATGTCCACATGAAACTGAAATCAATTATCCTAACATATTTTTTTTACTTAAATCTGAATCATTAGTATAACCTGTCATTTCAAGAGAGTAATCATTATTTTATTTTATTTATTAGAATTTATCAATAATAATTCTACTTATATCTCTAATAATTTTAACATGAGTTCTAATCTAAACAATAACAATTTTTTAATTACATTTCCCCAATTTATATAATAATTTGAATGTTCTAAAAATGCTTAACAAGCAACTTCGAAATTTCGAAAGCATTTTTCAAATTCACTGTCATCTTATTGATCAAATGCAAAACAACTACCAAAAAATAATGCTATTTTCTCTGGATTAGCTTATCTATGCATTACATCTAATAAACTATTGCCACAATAATGGATTAATGAAAATATAGAATATATTTATTAAAGTATAGGTTTAGCTGCATCTAATTCATCATCATTATTCTACAATTCAATATATTTTTTATTGTTTTCAGATTCTGATTTATTTTCAGCTTAATTAATTTTTATTGCCAAATTAATAATGTATTATAATGATGTACATAATTATAAAACATTTTTTTTTGGTAATATTTATGTATAAAAGTATTTCAAATATTCTAAATTTATAATATTCTTATACATTTAGATTCTTAATTAAAATATGAATGTTTAAAAGAATATTTGATTGTTGAATCAGCAAAGTGACAACGTACTATTGCAGTTTGTAACTAAGATTCATAAGGTAATATTTCATCTTTTGGATCTTAAATAATTAATTTAGGTCCTACATAATTGTAATAAGAGAGATAATTAGGTTTATCCCAACTTACAAGACAATTATAAATGAATCTAACACTTGAAGAGGAGAACCTATCATTTTTGATTTATTTATTACATTGTTGCTGCTACTTGTCCTAAAGAGGAAAAGCTTCTATCTACAATTAAAAATGAGAGTTTCATTTTATAGGCAACTTCTGATGCTACCATTCCTCCTAAAGATTAACCATGTACACCCAATGTTTTTATGTTATATTTGTTTTTAAAATATTCAGCTACAAAACGGCCATCCTCAATACAATTTTCTACTGAAATATTACCAGTACTTTCTCCAAAACCTCTATAGTTCCATAAAATTATATTAAATTTTAATTAGGTATAGAATCTAAACCAATCACACTATTATATATATATTTATTACATCAAAGAACATATATTCATAATATCCAGCATTAGGATTACAAAAAAGCACAGTTGATCCATTATCATTATTCTTAATAAATAAACAATCAATAGTATCTTTTTATGATGTCTTAAGATTATGTCTTTCGATATTATTATATTAAATTAAAATTTCAATTCTTCTTTATTATAAAGTACAGAGAAATTCTGGTTATATGAATTTTTGAAAAATATTCATTTAAGACATTTGATATGAATGATGTTCAAGGAATATTTATAATTATTTGCAATAAGATGTAATTCTTTATTTTTTCTCAGTTGATATTTTATCAGGTAATTCATTCTTAGGAATTTGAATTAATTCTTCATTCAAAAGCTTTAATTAGGCATGATACTTATTTTACTAATCGTTTTTCTATTTCATTTCTGTTAAAGTCCTACATTGAATATTCAAAAAATTGATAGCATTTTCAATGATTTAATAAGTATACTTATTAGTATTCATTGAATTGATGATTATTGTTAAATTCTATAAGGTTCTACTTACTAAATAATCACTTAGACTCAACAAAGTAAATTTGTAATAAAGTGATTTTACAGATCCTGGAAATGTAATTAATGTGCATATCAAGTGACCTAAATAGTATAAACAAAATAAAGTAATGCCTATAGAGATCACTACACTCTCACTAATGATATAACATATTAGATAGATCAAAAGAGAAAGAACAGATAAAGTGATCGTGGCTATTATAAGAATGTTCATTAATTATATTTGTGTGTACTAATAATCAATTTCTAAAAAATAATTATAGGTTGAACACTTTAAAAGACAATATACATACCTACTCCAACATAAGTAACCACTCTTTTAAATGTAACTTTTATTAAAAAAGAACAGACTATTAATATTTGTATACTTAATACTTCTAGCAATGAAAGCAACACTACTTAAAGACCTTAAATAAAATATAATAAATCTTGTATTTCCTATTACCTTATTCAATATATAATACTTTATAAAGGTCTTTCATTCTTATTTTGAATCATTTACTTTTTATTTCATTAGACAACCATTCAAATCAATTTTGAAAAACTATCAAACATCTATTATTATTTAGTTTCACACTAAAACAAGATTTATTTATCAATATTACCAAAAAATTTGATAGTTCCTTATTTTACAATTTTGAGTATCCAATCAAATATAAATATAGAATTACTTTTCATAAATGTATATTTCCCAAGATCTTTATTATTAATTTAAGAAAATAAAATAAAAATCTATACTATATTAAAGAACATCAAAAATATAACTAATAAATGAAGTAGAAAGTAAAAAGTAAAAATCATGATATATATATCATTAGTTTTAACTTTTACTTAATACTATACTTTTCACTTATTAATCTACATATTAAATTACTACAAAAAATCATAAAAAATAAGATGTGTAAAAATCATAAAAACTATGATAATTGTTCTTTTTTCAATGGCTTGACTAACAAATCATCCATACCAGCACTAATACATGCTGCCTTTGTCTTAGGATCACCATCTTATAATCAAATTATTATAATATATACCTCCACTTAGACCAAGTATCTTGCATCTAGGTAATCCTTTTGCTTTTTCATGAGCTCTAATTTATTTTGCAGACTTATAATTTATTTACACTTTTACATCATATCCATCCATAATTGGCATATGAATATCCATTAATACGTGAACAAAATTAGGTGATTTTTGATATGCTTCCAAAGCTTCTTTTCCATTAGACACCACTATGCATTCTACTTTCATAGCACCATACAACATTTTTAATAAATTTTGAGCGAAGGGTTCATCATCAGCCACCAACACTTTCTTTCCTTCCATAATATAATAAATTTATTAATCTTATTTTTATATATCTAACATTCATCCCCAAACAATTTATAGAGGAATTTCATTCATTTCTGTTAAGACTAAAAATTTAATTTGAATTGCCTATCTATATACTCATTTAATTACTATCTTTTATACTAATTAATTCTCTAATAAGATGATTTTATTGTTTACATCAATTAATTATTAAATTGTATAATGATATTACTTATATAAAGTAGTTAATAAATTTACAATAAATTAAATACAGAATCAATATATAAGAGCAAAATTCATTAAAATTTAAATACTAATTAAACTATTCATTTATTTTTAATTTAAAATATTTGTATAAAATTAATTTATCAACATGATTCTAATAATATTTTTAAAAAATTCTTTATTTTATTAATGTGAAAATAAATCTAACTTATGTATAATTTATGCTCTTTTATTATTTGTTTGATTAATTTTTGTTTTTTTTGTCCATAATTAATAATTAAAAATGGAAAGAGCTGCAAATCTAATATTAACAGCAGGTTCTTTACTTGTTGGTGGTGGAATACTATTTAAGTCATTCTTTTATACAGTAGATGGTGGCTAAAGAGGATTAATATTTGATCGTTTCTAAGGAGTTAAGGAAACAGTATATGGTGAAGGAATGCATTTTTTCATCCCTGTTATTTAAGTATAGATGTTATAATATATTAGTCTCCAATTGTTGCGGAGGTTAGATTATAGCCTAAAACAGTAGCATCTCATACTGGTACAAAAGACTTGTAAACTGTAGATATTGCAATTAGAATGCTACATAAACCTATTGAATCATATTTACCTGAAATTTATAAGTAAAGTTTCTATTTAATAAATAAGAACTATTGGTTTGAATTATGAAGAAAAGATTCTTCCATCTATTGCAAATGAAGTCTTAAAAGCAGTTGTTGCTTAATATGATGCAGATCAATTAATAAAAATGAGAGAGAAGATTTCATAAGAAATTAAGGAAGGTTTGATTGAAAGAGCTAAGGAATTTAAGATAGTTTTAGATGATGTTTCTATTACACATTTAGGATTTATGAAAGAATATGCTTAAGCTATTGAAGCAAAATAAGTGGCATAATAATTGGCTGAAAGATAGAAATTCATAGTTTTAAGAGATGAAGAAGAAAAGAATGCAAAAGTTATATTATCTGAAGGAGAATCTGAAGCAGCTAGATTGATTAATGATGCAGTTAAATAATATGGAACAGGTAGAAATGTTTCTTAGATCAATAGCTTAAATTGAGATTAAGAAATTAGAGACAGCTAAACATATTGCAGAATAATTAGCCAAGAGTCCAAATATAACATGGATACCAACTGGAAACGGGGTTTCAAATTTATTGAATTTAAAGACATTTTGATATGATCATTATTATTTTAAAGGTATTTCTAAATTTTCACTAAAATGATTATTTTTCTAATCATCTTAATTAGATATTATATAAATTTCTATATCTAGAAATAGATTTGATTATATTATGTTATTTAATTTTAATTCTCATATATAAGGTTTTAGATAATCTATATAATAATACTAAAATCTTTATATTTAAATTCATATAATACCTTAATATTGGAAGATTTGTAATATTTTTTACATAATTAGGGTTAATAAATTATTGATATGATAATTAATTTTGAATTTTTGTATGTGAAAAACATCTAAAATATAACAAATAATATTCATTTAGTTTCTAATAAATGTATACTATAAAACAACTATTTAGACCTCAGGTAACTATAACTATTATCAAATATAATTCTGTATAGTCCTGGATTAGATATTACTGTGACTCCAATTATTGGTTATTTATGAGATTCAATTCTTTATAGTTTAATCAATGATTTCACTCCATTTCTCTCATTGACATAATCTATGATTCCTAAATCTTCAATTGTTTACAATTTAAATAGTCCAAATTATACATCATAATCAAGTGTTCTGAAACTCCAAAATATTAATGAATTAGGTTTATCCACCATAAATGAATAACAATATATAGATGCTGCTTAAATTATAGCATAACAAGGAAAAGCTGCTTGAATATTCAAGTTTCTCAAAGATGGAACACTTTAAGATTCATCTACATAACTTAGAGCTTTAACAGAGAAATATCTATTGAATTGAAATGATAATTTACTTGTTTTCTCTCAGATATGCTAAATCTTCATCATCAAGTAGAGATTACTTGAATTTCTCATCATAATCTGATGAATGAATCAATTAATATAGAAAGATAGTTATTTCTTTATATTCTTAGACATCCTTATGTAAAAACAAGGAGAGATTACGCAACACCAATTATATAGGTCCCATTAAAGCTATTCTCAAATCTGGAATATATTTATATAAGACTTTAATCATCATATAGATTCTCTTTTATAATCCAATTTCTTCTGGCAATACTAGAATCATATTTAATAGTTGAGCACAACTTTTATACATGTTTGATATTTAATGTAAAATCATTTACTTCTCTATTTTTATATAATAAGTTCGTTATTGCATTTCTTATATAGTATATTATACATCCAAAATGTATCTTTCATAAATACCTAATACTTAAGTCAAGAAGTTCACTTATTGTTTTTCTTCCATTTACCTAATCATTAAAAGATATTCATAAATAAGTTCTTAAAGAGGACTTCCAAATAAATAATATTAATCTATGATGCTTTCACAAGAGGATAAGATTATCTGCAATTATTTAATGAAAAGACTATTGTTATCTTGGAATTATTTTAAGGCCAATTTCAATGCACTTAAGTCTGACTGTTTCTTGTCAACATATTTTACTTATAAACCAATAAGGAGTTCATCAATATGTAATTCTAAAGATGTATGCCGCAATTATTATTATAAGTTCAATAAACTATTTGCTAGATCCACCATAGTTCTTTCTGCACCTCTTTAATGAAGAAGTCTATTTGCTATGATTTTTCTTTGCATTATTGCATCTAATATTATGATTGAACTCCTAACTTATTGAGGATTTGTAGATGAAAGATGCTTCATCAATTTTCTCAATAATTATAGATTTAGTAGATCTTAGAGTTGTGGCTCATCTTTTATATCTTATCCTAATTAATCTATTAAATGAAGTATTCCTTTGACTTCATTGTTTTCAAAACATTCATTCAACTTTGTTTACAATTCTACTTGATATTGTTGTAATAATGGAGTGATTAATGGTGATTCAGACATTAATTAAAATGAATTTAAATGAAAATGCATTACTCTAACTTAGTAGTAGAGTTGCTGCACCCAGAAGAGCCACTGTGTTTAGTTATACTAAAAAAGGATTGAATATAAGACCTGATAGTCCTAAAACAAGAGAAGCATGTTTAGCTTTGGGTTATGATGCCTCAATCTTTAAACTCAAGTAATTAGGTTTTATAATATTTAAGAAAATTGGAAGAATTTGGTGGACCTAATGTCACTGAAGCAATTTAAAAAATGAGATATGATCATTATGTAAAAAAAATGGAAAGTATATTCTTCATAATAATCGAAAGTTACATTCAAGGAGATCTCCAAAAAGAGAAAGTAAATAACCAAGAAGAATAAAGGATTACAAAATATTTAATTAGAAAAATCATTTCATCGAGATGAGGGGTATCTCCAAATGCTCATTTACATTTTATTAGTTTAGTCAATGATTTGATAGAAACTTACAATAAAAAGATGGTGAACCTTAAGATAGATGAAGAAGATAATGATAATTCCTATGAATCCTATGATGAAGAAGATCCAGTTCTAGTTTTAGAAGAATAATTGGAAAGAGAAATTAAAAAATATAAAAGAGCACTTGGAGTTAAAGCTAAAGAAATTCATCATTAGTTAGAGAATGAAAAAAGAAGACATTAATTATAATAAGAGATGGAAGAAAGAGAAAAAAAAATAGTTGAATTAAATGAGAAGATAAGAAAGGAAAAAATGTTAAAGAAAAAAAAAAAATTAGAAGCTGCTTAAAAGAAATTTAATGAAATAAAAAATAAAGAAAAATAATTTAATCTAAAATAAATAGATGAAAGAAAGAGATAATTAGAAAGATTTGAAGAATTAGGAAAAAAATTATAATTTGATGAATAAATTAAGAAAAAAGAAATTGAAGAACATGAAAAAGCATTAAGATAAAAATTTGAAACAGTTAGAGCAAACAAAAAAAAATTTGATAAATTTATGGAAGATAAAATGACACTTACTTTATCTAATTTATAAGTTAAATGTAATTCTATTCTTTATTATTTTATATAGAAAATGAATGTAATTCAAATAAAGAGAAATTTACATGGGAATCTAAATTAGAAAAATTAACAATGAGAAGTTCTCATTATGATGAAAAATTAAGAAAAATTAAATTACAAACTGAATAAAAGGAAGCAGAAACTATTTAAAAAGTTGTAGGAAAAATGTTTAATAAAGAATAAGAATTATAAAGTATAAATTTATTATTTAAATATATTTTAGTGCTTGAAAAATAAAAGTAAATGAATGAATAAGCAAAAATATAAGAAGAACATACTAAAAGAAAAAAAGCTTAAGATTAATTGAGAAAAATATAATCATTATAATTATAAAGAGTTACAGATCTAGAGAAAAAATTTTTAGATTAAGATGAATTGAGTAGTAAAAGAAAAGATGAAAAAGATTTTTAAAAATATTTAAGAAAAGAAAAAATGAAAATTAAATAACAGGATTTGATTGAAAATTATTAAAGATAAGAAAGACTTAAAGATTTAAGATTTAAATAAGTTATAAAAGATAATTAATAATTAAATGAATAAAAGGCTTTAGAAAAACTAACAAATGAATTAGTTAGAAAAGCATAATAAGAATTATAAAGAAAATTGAAATAAGAGAATGAACATCTAGATCGAAGTTTAGTATCTGTTAGTTAAGCAGATAATAAATCTATGGGGTATTTATTTATTTAGATTATTATAGAAACCTTGTTCAATAATTAGAAAAAAGCCTTATGCAATATTCCTAAATGATTTGAACAAATTTTTATATAATCATGAATTAATCTGATTCATTTGATCCAATTTATATAACGATATAAAATAGTTCAAATAAGTACTTTCTTTTTTTTGGATTTATAAATTATGATAAGAAATCAAAAGAAGGATTAAGCACATGAATTTTATTGTTAAATATAGTAATTTATTACAATCATTGATGTAATCATTATTTTAATAAATTCAATATATATATTGAATAATGGCATTTTTAAAGAAATTCTTTGGATAAAAATCAGATTCATAAAGTTCTCTTTATAAGACTAACTTAAATGAAATTTATAATAAATCGCCATTTCAAAAAAAATAAATTACATCAACCATTCAGGATTAAAAAAAATTAGAGCAATTTGAACTTGTATTAGAACAACAAATAATTGATTTAGAAGCTCTTAAGAAACTAACATGGAGAGGAATACCTAATGGTATTGTTTTAGATAAATATAACTAGAATATAGAGCTAAGGTTTGGAAATTAATAGTAAAATATATTCCTCCTAATCACATGAGTTAGACTACTATTTTATTAAAGAAAAGATAAGATTATTAACAATACATTAAGAATTACTATGAACATATGAATGAACAAGAAAGAGATGAAAATGAAAGAAAAATCATAAAGATTATATAAAATGATGTATTAAGAACTTAACCTGATTATAAACTATTTAGAGATCCTAGAATTTAAGAAATGTTTAAAAGACTTTTATTTATATGGAATATGCGACATCCAATGAGTGGTTATGTTTAAGGAATCAATGATGTGGCATCACCTTTAATTGTAGTATTCTTGAATGAATATGTTCCAATAGATTTCAATTCTTTTGATGTTCCTTCTAATTTTGACAAATTACCAGAAGAAATTTTGATCGATATTGAAGCTGATATCTATTGGTGTTTATGCAAAATAATTGAAAACATTTAAGATTATTTTACTGCCAATTAACCAGGTGTTTAAGAAGCATATGTAAAAATTAGGGAATTGATTAAAATTGTATAAATTTATCTAATATATTAAGCTTGACTATCCTTTATATCAATATTTTGAAGATCAACAAATAGATTTAAATCATTTTGCTTTTAGATGGGTCTTATGCTTATTAATAAGAGAATTTCCATTATCTTTAACAATTAGATTATTGGATACTTATTTAGCCGAAGGTGATGAAATGGCCAATTTGCATGTATATACAGTAACAAACTTAATACTTAAATGTGCACCTGAAGTAAATTAATAAAATAAAATAGATCAAATCAAAGAATATGAGTGAAGCAGTCATATTTTTATAGAATTTACCAACTAAAGAATGGACAGAAGTACAACTTGAGATGCTCTTGTAAGAGGCATTTGTTTTTCAAGATCATTTCGAGAAAACTAAAGGTCATCTAAAATTAAATTAAGGAAATACAAATAGAAGTAGCATTCTCTGATTACTATAAATATAAAGAGAATATATATATAAATATATCATCCTTACTTTTTGGATCCCCTTATTTCTCTTTTAATTTCAATAAAGTTTATTTTCATTATGATTACATTACTAATTAATAAATAACACTGTTTATATTATTTAATTTATTCATTATGAAAGATAGATTTCCGGTTGAAACAGTTTTCTAAAATTGGTGTAATTCAATTTGATAATTAATCTAAATTCCATATAAACAAATTATTGGGAAACTTTTGATAAAATCTTTCTTTTAGAAATATCATTGTGAAGATATGATTTAATAATAAGATTTCTAAATTTTTATTATTATTTGTGAATGATTATAATATTTTAAAATATTTTAGAAAAATAAAATATCTGGAATTTATTTTCTTTCTTATTGGTTAAGTTAACTTTTTATTGTATTTCTGAATTTGAGAAGATGTTCTTTTTCCTTCATTAAGATTTACATATATTTTAGAATAGGAATCATATAATTTATTTATTAGAGAGGCTAGTTAAACTTTAATGAAAACCTTTTTCTCTTATCTGTTAATTAAATTTAAGTATAGTTTATATTAATAGTATATTCAAAGCATTTCAATAAACTTTTGATTCAGGTTCTTACTTGATTTTCTTCTTATAGGGCTTGCTAATGATGTCCCAGACCTTAAATCTATGATCACAGATTCAGATGGGAATTTGAGAATATTAGGAGACTGAATTTCTTTTAGGGAAGTTTACTCAAACTATAGTCCTTCATCCATAATTTCCATTCTATCTGAATCCCCTATCACTAATATTCGCAGAGGTTCAATCTTACGCTCATTTAGACAAGATTTTTGTTTGAGATCAAAATTTTGTTAGGATTGAGTATAAGACTAATGTTGACAGCAACCCATTTCAAATTTGAAGCAGAGTTTATAATATTTAATAAATTTCAATTCATTTTCTTCTTTATGTTTGAAAAATTTTGTGTATCTTAAAATTTGAGTGTTCTAATTCAATATTTTTAAGTATTATCAAAATTTTCACAAATAAATGATGGATTCATTTATATATTCTCAATAGTGGTCTACATTTATCTTATTGTTAAAATATCATATATATAATTTATGGTAAATCAATTTTATTAACTTTATTTATTTTTTACTTAATACGCTCAAGAAACATAAAATTAATAAATATTTTACATTATATTGTTCTTTTTATTTAGTTTAGCTTTGAATGTTATTAGAATATTTAAGGTTGAAAATTTTAATAGTCTATTGATTACATCTTAATATATAAATAATTGTATTAAATTTCAAAGTTTAATTACAACTTAAATCATAGCATTCCTATAAATTTATTGTTTAAATTTCTATTGTTTCTATCCTTGGCCAATAATGAGGGACTGGGAGTCTATCTCAAATCTATTGTAACTTGTCCTTTAATTGGTTCACTGAACTATTTATCCACTTTGCCATGCTATTATTCTACTAAAATATTATCCGCACATGTGCTTCCTAACCTTTCTATACAACCAACATCTCCCTTAATTAAATTTAAGGAGAAAGGCTCCATTTATAATGTTTTTGGCGAGAATTCTTTCTTTATACTTAATTGTGTGATTATAATGGGTTCCTTTTCCTATAAAGGTGTATTTTAGCAACAACCCATAAATTTATATATTAATTTCTTCAAGAAGATAGAGATAATTAAACTTATTAATAAACTATCAATATTTTTATTAATATGATGTCAGTATAAATAAGAACTCTGTTATCTAAATAAAGAAATAGTATTTGAAATTATAAGAAATATACAATGGAAATTATGAAATTTGGATATCAATCTTAAAATATCTTTTTGAATGTCTAGTTATATTAATTTGAAATCCAAACATGTTAAAGTTATTCAAAATTAATAATTAATTTTTATTTAGAATGTTTTAAACTCTGTAAAATTTATAAATAGTTATTTTATCTAAGTTAAATACAAATATTGCAGTTTTTTTTATTACATGTATCAGTTCAAATAAAGAATTTTCCATAAAGGAGTGATTAGATAAAATATTGTAATTTTTTTATATTTGAATAAATTAATTTAACTCCTGGTCAGGTTAATTAAGATGAAAACATTAAATATTTTTTAAATCTTTATGAGTAATAATTTGTTCAACGTTCTCAACTTCTCCGATACAGAAGAAGCTCCAGAATAACCACAAAAAAAGAATAAAAAAAACAACAATAAAGAGTAGGTCATCCCTGTTGAATAAGTAGTAAAAGAAAATACTCAACACCACAATCCAGCTCCTAAGACTAAGGGAGTCACTTCTGAGCCACATCCAAAAGACAGACAATCTGGTACTGGAAGAGGCAAAGAATAACGTAAAGAAGGTGGTGGCAGAAATAATTGGGGCAATTACAAAGATGACTTGAAGGAAGAAAAATATGTGGCAAAAGAAAAAAAATCAGATGATGCACCTTAAGAAGGAAAAACTGAGTAGACAAATCAACCAGTTTAACCACCAGCTCCAGAAAAGACTCTTGCTGATTATTATTAATAAAGAGGCGCTGTATTAATTTATATATTATCTTCAGAATGTTGATGAAGTATTAAAATAGGTTGAAGTCAAATAATAGGCTCCAAAGAAAATTGATGAAGAAGCTTTGAAGAAGGAAAAACTTTTTGTTGTTAAAACTAGAGAAGATGAAAAAAGAGAATAAGAATAAAAGTAAAAAAAAACAAGATAATAATAATAAACATACAGAACTGAATTGAATACTTAAGCTGCTGAGTATTTGGGATTTACTAGTCAACCTTAAGAAAAGAATGAAAGAAGAGGTGAAAGAAGATAATATGAATAACCATAATAATAATAATAATAATAAGAGGGTGAAGAATAAGGAGGAAGAGGTGAAAGAAGAGGAGAAAGATAAGATGAATAATAGGAATAAGGACAATAAAAAGGAGAAAGATAAGATAGAGGAGAAAAATAACATAGAGGAGATAGATAATATAAGGGAGATAGATAATATAAGGGTGATAGACAAGAAAGAGGAAACAGATAAGAAAGAGGAGATAGATAAGAAAGAGGAGACAAATAAGAAGGAGGAGATAGATAAGATAGAGGAGATAGATAATACAAAGGAGATAGATAATACAAAGGAGACAGATAAAATAGAGACAATAATACTAGAGATTAAGAAAGGGGAGATAAGGCTAGAAGAGGTGGTGATAGATAAGAAAAGAAGCCATAATAAAGATAATAAGTAATATTTTATATTAATTGAGTAGGAACAAGGAATTCAATTGGATGATAAGGATTTCCCAGCTTTATGAATGTGATAAGTATAATACACATATAGTACATATATAAATCTTAATTAAAATAAATGAACCAAAATCTCGAAAATGCCATTGATTTAGAGAATGATGAACTCATTGTTGAAAATTGTATAAGTATTTTTTATACTTAGACAACAATGATGATAAGGATGACTAGTTAGTTTCATAAATATAAGAAATTTTAATAACAGAAGATTTTGAAAAATTATCTTAAGATTTCTTACGTGAAAAATGTTTAGTTTTTGAAGAGACAGAATCAAAGGAATACAGAGAAATATTTAAATTATACTAAAGTGCTATTTAGTTATATTTGAATGAAGTATGATAATGAATGAGTGAATTTAGAAACTTAAAGTAGAACTTACTCTTGAGAAATTACAATCTCTCCCTTTAGATGAAACAATGAATGAAACTTTAGCATCATTATTTGATTATGATTTATTTAAAGATATCATGGTAGAAACAAGAATAAGAGTTGAAGAAGAAGAAAGGACAATAAAAAAAAGCACTAATAAAGCTACAAAAGGTTATAAATAGACACCTTAATAAACTATCTTCAGTACAGGATAAGCAATATAATTTGAAAAGAAACCATTAAAAAATGTATCAACTAATAATATTTTATAGTAAACTCCTTAAGACCTCAGACCAGATTTATTCTTCAATATTGTGCCTTTAAGCACACCAAAAGTAAATAAAAAATAAGTTTGAATATTAAAAAAAAAAGATTGTTTATATTTATAATCATGATTATTTAACTAAGACTCTATGGGATTATGATTACCAAGTATTTTTGACAAGTCTTTTTTATGGAGCAGTCCCTGGTCTTAATTAAGGTCTTATTTATTGCTTATCAGATTTGATGTTAAAAAGGTTAAGTTTTTTTTCATCAAAAATTTAATTCAGAGATAGTTTTTTATTCATCCAATTATCAATTGTCTATCTTCTTGGTTTTATAGGATGTTAAGTATTTAAATTTTAAACTTGATTTAAAGATTCAAGTTCTTATTTTAATACATTTTTGAATTAGCTTAAAATTAGAAAAAATGAATTACATCTAATAATAAGGAGGAATGTATTATGATATGATGATTTTATTCCATTGTACTTTTTTAGAACCTACTTCCCTTTTACTTCTTGGTTCACATGCCTGAGGCTTTTAACTATTTAAATAAGTATTTCTTGCAACAACCTCATCAAAATTTTAATTGGAATCCTAATTGTTATTCAATTTACTAATAAGTAGCCATTTTTCAAAATTCAATAATTGTTGCATCACATTTTATTTTATTTCAGAATTATTTTTAAGGTTCTATACATACTAAAGGGTTTTTTATAAGCTCCATTTAAATCTAGAAATTGTGAAACATATTTAATTACTTTCTCATTAAAAACACAACTATTACAAAAACTGAGCGATTGAGAGCATTTATTGAGTGAACTAAAACACCCTCTCCTGCTTCTAATGTATCATTTATGAATGAAAAACAACGAGAATGGTCTATAGCATACTAATAATCATTTTCAATCCAACCATAGGTCAAGTATTATATACCAATAGATTCCCAATGATTTGGAATCTATTTGCCAGCACAATTAATGATTTTCTTAATTTTATTTGTTATCAGGAACTCTAGATCCTAATATTATAAACATCGTTTACATGTGCAGCACTTTAGTCTCCAATATATAAACCATCAATGATACGAGTTGGAGATTTCATTATATATTTAATAATATAAAAATTTGGTTGGCGTTTTTGAATGAATGAAATTACTTATATTTATTGAATTACATTTTTTATGATTTTTTTGTACTTTAATTTTCATATTTATGTTGAATTGAAGAAAATGGTTAGTTATTCATACTAAACTTGATGATTAGTTTAATAAACTTAAAATTAAATTTATATGAAAAATAATAATTATATAGTAAAAGACATTTATTAAGAGAAAAATAAAGGCCGTATATATGATATCCATAAAAAGAAATTAGAGGAAATAAACTAATAGGTAGTTGTTTAGCAATAAAATTAGTATCCAAAATTAGATGATTAGAAAGTGATGAAGAAATTATAGGAGAAGCATAATATGATTAAAACAGTTTCAAAATTTTATAATCAGGAAGCTTTTATTGAATAATAAAGAGTCAATTAACATTTAATTTTGAAAATAATGTAGCCTTAAACAACTAAAACACGATCTCAACATAATCAATCAAGAAAAGAATATGCTAAAATAAATTTTGACAATAAACGAATTAGCGAGGAAAATCGTAGTTTAGCAAATAGAATTACAAATTTACCTCCTGTAATTGATACGAAAAAGCAAGACAAGGATTTTCGAAAACATTAAAGTGAGGTTGTATTAATGTAGAAATATCATGCAACAAAACTTATTGAACAATATGATTAAAAAAGCTTTAGTATCCTCAATAAATTAACAAATAATAAATTTAACAAGAGCAAGTTTGGAAATTTTAAATTCTTATCAACTATAAATAAACAAACTAAATTTATGATGATTATAATATAAGAAATGGAACTATTTGGAGTAAAACATTCCTCATTATTGAATAAAAATCCTCCTACTTATTAATGCTCTATATTTTCAGATTAAAAATGTTTGTGTAAAAGTAAACCATTAGAATATAATGAATTTTTGGAAAACATAATTGGATTCAATTGCTAGGATTTTACATCTATCTACATTGTTATAGAGAAAATCAAATAAAATGAAGAAGTAATTATCTAATTTCATTTTATAGTTTTAAGTAGGAGATGTTATATATTGTGAGAGTTACTCTCATATTAATACTCATCCCTTTAAGAATAATATAATTGCTAGGATTTCTGATGAAATTGATGGTGAAATAAGAAAGAATATCTCAGAAGAACAAGTGATCATAGGGAGATTGAGATACAAAATTCTATAATTGTGTCAATAAAGTCATGAGAATAAGCTATAAGTGCCTCCTGCATCTTATGCCATCCAAATTTAACACTCAACTCCCTAACCCTCTATCAAAGAACCTGAAGAAATTCCATCTTAATAATTAATATGATTAGTAATTTAATTTACGTGTTAAAATGGAAACGTGGGTACAAGAGACATAAAAGTTATATTTTTCTGGCTATCCATTTATTGAGTATGGCGTAGGGGGCTATATCATTCTTATTTCTTTGCTTCTTGCTTTAAAATGCCTTTTTAATTGCAAAACCAAACATCCAGCTAATTTCAATGTATCATTAAAAATCCATTTAGGTTGTGAAATTTAAAATTCCTAATAGTAATACTAATACCAGTGTATCATCTAATTAATAAGAACTCATAAATAACTAAACAAGAGTGATTTAACAATTAAATGAAAAATTAATAACAATGCAGTAAGGATTTGATAAATTGTCTAAGGAACACATTTAATTGCGTACAAGTATCAAATAACCTTAAATTATATAGCTTTATCTGATTTATAATCCTAAGTCTTTGATATTTTAACTAAAAAGAAAAATTCTAACCCTCCATAACTTTAAGCCAAATCTATTAAATCTTAAATCATTTAACCATCCTTAAATTTTGAGAAATAAGAAATGCGATCAAAATAATCAGTATTAGAAGGGCAAGAATAATAGAGAACATCAAAAGAATAATTAGAAGATGAACAATTTTTGTAAAAGTAGGTTGAATAATAAAAAGAAGCAGAATATGAGTAATAATACTTGTAATAGTAATCATCATAATAATTATAGTAATAATAATAATAATAGCAATAATATTAATAATAATAATAGTAATAATAAGAGCAATAATAATAATAATAGTAATAATAATAATAGTAATAATAATAATAGTAATAATAATAATAATAATAATAATAATAATAATAATAATAATAATAGTAATAATAATAATAATAATAATAATAATAATAATAATAATAATAATAATAATAATAATAATAATAATAATAACTATTATTATAGCAATAGTAGTAATAAAATGAAGAAAATCTTTCTCAACGTTAATTTAAAGAATAAGAAGATAATCAATAAAATACAATAATTGCTTAGCCTTAAGAACAAGTGAATCAATCATAAACTAATCCCTTTGCCACAGAATAACCTCCTGTCGTAAGAAAACCTTAAAACCCACCTACTCCTAGAAGAATACCTCCTTAATTGAGACCAAAGTGATAAAATTCATATAGTAATCATAACAATTTAATGAAATCCAACGTTCCTTATAGTTCTTATAATTATCGACTATATGACAAATATTTTTAGTTTTGGTATTATTTAGCAAATGCAACTTCTGGTGGTTAGGGTTGACTTTATAGAAATCTCTTTTTCTATCTCGATCTCTTAATAATTTTATCAATATTGCTTGTCTTAAATTCAAGTTGAGTTTCTGATTTTTCTGGAATAGTTAAAAAGTTAAGTTTAGATTTTTATTAGGATATACTTGTTTTTTCCCTTCGACTACTTTGTAATGCTTTTGCTCTAAATTAATATTAAATTCTATCAGTTTATGAATGCTAAATAGATTCTGATTTTTAGAGTCTAGTTGATTCCATAGATTTTAATAGGTATTTTCTTTAACTAAGTGCACCAACTCTACCTTCATCATCAGTTACTCCTATCTATTTTACAGAGAATGTCAATTTTTCATAATTCTCTTTGCTTAATTAAAGATTGGATATGAGCTCTTATTGCTTATTTAAGTAATCTTGTCTTCTTTTAATATAATGCATATATTCAAAAGGACTAAACACTTTAATTACTTTAGCATTTAGTCTAAGATATGTGTTGGTAAATACTCTTGAGTGTTGTAGAGCACTTTAGGATGGACTTTGGATATAATAGATGGGGACTTAAATTTTTGAGACATTTTTAATTAATAATTAATATAGATCATATAACAAAGGAATAGTTGTTAATTTTATAAACATTTTGATTCTTAGTAGATTTAATGAGGTTGTCTATTTGAATGTAATTGGGACTCTTAGGTAATTTTGGAGAGATGAGGATGACATTTTTGGATTCTTTCAAGACAGAACCTCTGATTCAGTATAAACATAATACTCAGTGCGAAGTCTTGTATTTGCATTCTTGCTTTATGATCTTGATTTGTATAGGGATGTATTGTTGGACTTATTTTCATTAAATGATGGTTATTTTTTTGGCTTTAATAGTTGTATAAGTAAATTTTTGCTTGATTTAGGGATTGTTCTTTCAGTTTCAATTGATTTTTTTCGAATTGGTTAACATAAATTATAGACTTCAATATTTTTGAGAGAATCAAGTGAATCATCATCAGATGCATCAAAACCTTCTCTTTCAAATACATAAAAGTGATTTTAACGACTTTTAGAAAATCTTTTCTCAATTTCTTATTTGAATTCAATAGTTTATAATCTAACAATCTCATCTGTCATAAGTAACGTTAGATTTTTAATTATTAATAATATATATATTTATAATAAATGAGTAAAGGGATTGGAGCACATCTAGATAAGGCAGTGAAATTAAAAATCTATTAATAGAGAGCAAATAAATACAATTCTGAATTTGATAAATTGGAGGTAGTGTTTAATGAATTCTATAATTTCCTCTAAAACAGGAATAAGGACATGACCCTGATAAGATTCCTGTAATTTTAGCAGAGGAGGAATATCAGAAACGACATGCGAATGACCCTTAGGAACCTCTGCCATTTGAACGTAGTGATAAAGTATTACCAATAACTGGATCGACTCATTTAGGATTTGATAAAGCTCATACTAATCTGTCTGCAACTAAATAGATGATGTAGATTCAAGAATAGAAAATGCAAAAAATAAAATCAATAAAATAGTCTGGTGGCAAATTACCTGTAGATGGTAAAGCAGTTATACCTATTAGTTAAGAGATACATAAAGCATAGAAGGAACATGAGAGAAACATGAAGGCACGTATTTAATATGATCATATTAATGATTTACATCAAATGTAATAATCTGATCCAAATGCTAAGAAGTCTTCATATTAATAACATCATGGTATATTAATTATTTATATGTATTATATAGTGTTTACAAAATATATGTAAGATGAATGTGACCATCAAAACTTTGATTATCATTAAATGAAGAACGACTTAAAACAATACCATGAGGCCTTTGTTATATGTCAAAAAACACTAAGAAAATGAATTATTCATCATATTAATTATTTTATAATTGTTTTTTCAATGATTTTATTATTTTTAATATCTCTTGATTCCTATATCAATTAATAATAAAGTATAGTAGACCAAGAAAAAATTGTAGGAGGCTTTTTTAAGATAGTTTGCCTAACTAATAAGTTTGTTTTTCATACATTTTTTGATGGATCTGCTTCAAATAATTTAATTGCTCTATAATTCCAAAAGTATAATGACAATAATCCTGAGATACAACTGATAAATTTTAATTCTGGCTAAGAATGCTGTGATGCAGTACCGAACCAACTCAACCCATTAATAGCTAAACAAATTTTCATATGTCTACTAGCAGCAGCACTGTCATTTACCATTTTGAATCCAGCTCTTAAATAGTCTTTTTGATATTTCCAATAAATTCCATAGAAATGATTGATTTACCATGAAAACATGAATCCAAAATTGCCCCACATTCCCAAATTATACAAACTATCATTGTTTACACATGCTGCTCCTAAAACTACTGGAAGAGCTCCAATAACTGCTCCAATCAAAGTATTAATAGGAGATCTTGTTTTCAAAGTTGTATAGATTCCTAAGTAAGAGAAGAAAATAAAATTGTTAATTGCTAAGGCATTGATTGGCAAACACTAAATCACTAATAAATATACATTATACATCAGGACATTAGAAGCTGTATAGAATGCAAATCCTATCAATCCACCTTACAAACGAGTAAGTCGTTGAATTGGAATAGGACGATTACATGTACGTGTCATTATTTTATCTTATTTCCATTCAATAACTTAATTGAAAGCTTAACTTGCCATAGCCTGTTCATAATATTACAGTAAATACCATAAAGAGTGATCCTGAAAATACAGAAAATGACTTTAATGAGATTATGTTGTCATCTCCTAAATACATAAATGAAATAAAGGGAATCACTGCATTCCCACTAGCTAGACTAAATTTACATAAATTTTTCAAATCTGTGATTGTTATTTTCATTAATATAAAAAATAAATGTACATAAGTTTAAGAATATCAAATATTCCCATACATTTCAAACATAAAAACAAACTACAATTAACAAATCCAAATAATTTTAATGAAAAAAATGAAAAATCAATAACTCTAAAAAGACTTAGAAGCATTTCAAAAATAACTTAAATTAGCATTACCATAAATAATCAATTAAGCTAAAAAAGATATTTGTCATTCTTAATACTTTGAAAGTCTATTTAAAGAATCTAAACCTAATAATATTTAAGAATTATATTCTCAAAGTCTTCTTAGATTAGATCCTCATATATCCAGATAATAACCACAATTAGAAGATGATATCTAAATAATTAATGATTTTATCCATATATATTTTGAAACTCATTTTTCTACTTTATAGAAAATGATGCTACTTGAAAAAGAAGTGAAAACTCAAATGGAATTAGAAGATATCTAAACAATAGCAATTAAAGAAAGTAAGTAATAATTCTAATATTTAACCTAATTAGAAGTAGATTAAAATAAAGTTTTAGAATATGATACTGCAAATATGAAAGAAATTTGTCTTATATTAAAGAAAAAATATTATAAAATACCTACATAACCTATTTGTGATAATTGTTTTTGTGGTAATTAATTACATTACAATTAAGTTGTTTAATGTTAATTATGTGATAAATACTATCATGTTAAATGTTTAGACAAAAGTTATGATGAAAGATATGTTAATAATTTTACATGTCCAAGATGTACTCTATATAATATGGATTAATTCTGTGAAGTTATTTCAACACTTGTTGATCCATGTCCATTTAAAAAAAATGGTTTAACTAATTCTAAACTAGTTAGATTTAAAACTGATTGTGAAATGGTTGACATAAGATGTATTAGGCTTGATTCTCCTTAAGCTGCATAAGAAATTACTTGGCCAGATTTAGGAGAAATTTAATTAAATGGTAAAAAAGTATTTGATTTTGTTCCATTAAGTTAATAAAGCTGTTTACATAAAAGAAAAGATGAAAAACTTCTTTGTTCAATTCCTAAAAATGAAGAATGCACTCTTATATTTAAAGAAACTATACCAGGAATTGATTAAAAAAGAAAGTTTAGAATTATTGATGAATAACTCTATTATTTTGCAATTTATAAAACAAAATAATACACAGCGAAATAATTAATTGATAAAATCATTGATAATCCTTAAAATTGGATGAGTTTAGAATAATCACAAGATTTTGTCATTCTCTAAATCAATTATAGTCCTGCCATTAAAATAATTAAATTGCATATATCTTTATTATGTTGTTTTAGTTCTTCTCTAATGTTAACTCCAGTTAGAGGAATCTATTGTACTCATGTTTAATGTTTTTCTTTAGAAAGTTATATACTAATGTTAGATTAATAGCTACCAAGAAAATGGAGATGTCCAATTTGTAAAGCTAAAATATTTAAATTATAAATTGATGCACTATNTAAGTTTAAGAATATCAAATATTCCCATACATTTCAAACATAAAAACAAACTACAATTAACAAATCCAAATAATTTTAATGAAAAAAATGAAAAATCAATAACTCTAAAAAGACTTAGAAGCATTTCAAAAATAACTTAAATTAGCATTACCATAAATAATCAATTAAGCTAAAAAAGATATTTGTCATTCTTAATACTTTGAAAGTCTATTTAAAGAATCTAAACCTAATAATATTTAAGAATTATATTCTCAAAGTCTTCTTAGATTAGATCCTCATATATCCAGATAATAACCACAATTAGAAGATGATATCTAAATAATTAATGATTTTATCCATATATATTTTGAAACTCATTTTTCTACTTTATAGAAAATGATGCTACTTGAAAAAGAAGTGAAAACTCAAATGGAATTAGAAGATATCTAAACAATAGCAATTAAAGAAAGTAAGTAATAATTCTAATATTTAACCTAATTAGAAGTAGATTAAAATAAAGTTTTAGAATATGATACTGCAAATATGAAAGAAATTTGTCTTATATTAAAGAAAAAATATTATAAAATACCTACATAACCTATTTGTGATAATTGTTTTTGTGGTAATTAATTACATTACAATTAAGTTGTTTAATGTTAATTATGTGATAAATACTATCATGTTAAATGTTTAGACAAAAGTTATGATGAAAGATATGTTAATAATTTTACATGTCCAAGATGTACTCTATATAATATGGATTAATTCTGTGAAGTTATTTCAACACTTGTTGATCCATGTCCATTTAAAAAAAATGGTTTAACTAATTCTAAACTAGTTAGATTTAAAACTGATTGTGAAATGGTTGACATAAGATGTATTAGGCTTGATTCTCCTTAAGCTGCATAAGAAATTACTTGGCCAGATTTAGGAGAAATTTAATTAAATGGTAAAAAAGTATTTGATTTTGTTCCATTAAGTTAATAAAGCTGTTTACATAAAAGAAAAGATGAAAAACTTCTTTGTTCAATTCCTAAAAATGAAGAATGCACTCTTATATTTAAAGAAACTATACCAGGAATTGATTAAAAAAGAAAGTTTAGAATTATTGATGAATAACTCTATTATTTTGCAATTTATAAAACAAAATAATACACAGCGAAATAATTAATTGATAAAATCATTGATAATCCTTAAAATTGGATGAGTTTAGAATAATCACAAGATTTTGTCATTCTCTAAATCAATTATAGTCCTGCCATTAAAATAATTAAATTGCATATATCTTTATTATGTTGTTTTAGTTCTTCTCTAATGTTAACTCCAGTTAGAGGAATCTATTGTACTCATGTTTAATGTTTTTCTTTAGAAAGTTATATACTAATGTTAGATTAATAGCTACCAAGAAAATGGAGATGTCCAATTTGTAAAGCTAAAATATTTAAATTATAAATTGATGCACTATAATATGCAATTTTAAAATCAATCAGACAATTAGGTTTATAAGAAAAATATTCCTGTATATCATTTGATTTTTAAGGAAATATTTTAGATGAAGTAATTTCTAAATCTATTGATTTTAATAATATTCCTGAGAATGCCAAATAAAATTATAATAGAATACCATAGTTAGAAAAATTAAGTAGTTCTAATATTGATAATGAAGATTTTGAGATTTAAAGTAATTCAAAATTAAACAATCATAAATCTATTGTTATAATATANATGATATCTAAATAATTAATGATTTTATCCATATATATTTTGAAACTCATTTTTCTACTTTATAGAAAATGATGCTACTTGAAAAAGAAGTGAAAACTCAAATGGAATTAGAAGATATCTAAACAATAGCAATTAAAGAAAGTAAGTAATAATTCTAATATTTAACCTAATTAGAAGTAGATTAAAATAAAGTTTTAGAATATGATACTGCAAATATGAAAGAAATTTGTCTTATATTAAAGAAAAAATATTATAAAATACCTACATAACCTATTTGTGATAATTGTTTTTGTGGTAATTAATTACATTACAATTAAGTTGTTTAATGTTAATTATGTGATAAATACTATCATGTTAAATGTTTAGACAAAAGTTATGATGAAAGATATGTTAATAATTTTACATGTCCAAGATGTACTCTATATAATATGGATTAATTCTGTGAAGTTATTTCAACACTTGTTGATCCATGTCCATTTAAAAAAAATGGTTTAACTAATTCTAAACTAGTTAGATTTAAAACTGATTGTGAAATGGTTGACATAAGATGTATTAGGCTTGATTCTCCTTAAGCTGCATAAGAAATTACTTGGCCAGATTTAGGAGAAATTTAATTAAATGGTAAAAAAGTATTTGATTTTGTTCCATTAAGTTAATAAAGCTGTTTACATAAAAGAAAAGATGAAAAACTTCTTTGTTCAATTCCTAAAAATGAAGAATGCACTCTTATATTTAAAGAAACTATACCAGGAATTGATTAAAAAAGAAAGTTTAGAATTATTGATGAATAACTCTATTATTTTGCAATTTATAAAACAAAATAATACACAGCGAAATAATTAATTGATAAAATCATTGATAATCCTTAAAATTGGATGAGTTTAGAATAATCACAAGATTTTGTCATTCTCTAAATCAATTATAGTCCTGCCATTAAAATAATTAAATTGCATATATCTTTATTATGTTGTTTTAGTTCTTCTCTAATGTTAACTCCAGTTAGAGGAATCTATTGTACTCATGTTTAATGTTTTTCTTTAGAAAGTTATATACTAATGTTAGATTAATAGCTACCAAGAAAATGGAGATGTCCAATTTGTAAAGCTAAAATATTTAAATTATAAATTGATGCACTATAATATGCAATTTTAAAATCAATCAGACAATTAGGTTTATAAGAAAAATATTCCTGTATATCATTTGATTTTTAAGGAAATATTTTAGATGAAGTAATTTCTAAATCTATTGATTTTAATAATATTCCTGAGAATGCCAAATAAAATTATAATAGAATACCATAGTTAGAAAAATTAAGTAGTTCTAATATTGATAATGAAGATTTTGAGATTTAAAGTAATTCAAAATTAAACAATCATAAATCTATTGTTATAATATAATCAAGAGATTCTTCTTTTTAATAAATTTATAATTAATATTTTTCTTACAAATATTAATTATAAATTAGAATTCAAAATGAATTATATCGATTATTAAATATAATAAGATATATAATTTAAATAACTTTTATTACTTTCAATTAATCTAAAACAACAATCTAATAATTCTTGATAAAAAAATGGCTTCAATATACTAATAATTCAATCATTATTATATGATTATTTAAAAAGTTAAATAATTTGTATTTATTCAATTCATTAATATTTTTAAATAACATAATAATAATGATTAATTAAGAATTCTATGATAATGCATTGAAAACATTATAATAGTTATCACCTGAAATCTAAGAATATTAATTTCCTCATTTGAGATTATTCACAGATGGTGATGAATTTTATTGTATAATTAATGATGATAATAGAAAAATTATGGTAAATGATTGACGAATCAAAAACATATTGTTGGATATTGACCTATGCAATGGATAAGAGTTTAGCAGCCAATATAACTCTTTATAAATTAATTAATGCATAGTAAAGAGGTGTTAATGTAGTTTTATTTGTGGATGATCTTTAAGGACATTATAATAACAAATTAACTAAATTATTATAATCTTATGGAGGTGTGTTTTTGAATTTGAATCCTTTAAGTGCATTTAAGATATATGGATAAGAGTTCTTTCGTAGACATCATGAGAAAATGGCAGTAGCTGATCATAAGGCAATATTTGGTACATCAAATATAGAATCTCATTATGGTGGTGTTAAATGGGGCAAATAAACATTTCATGATATCAATACTTATACTGAAGGGAGACATTTATCTTATAATCTTTAAAAGCATTTTATGTATTTGGCTAGTTTATATAAAATTTAATTGAATCCTCATAAACCTACACCTAATGAGGATTTACTTTATACATTTAATGCATTCCCTCCTTATTATGAATTCTTTAAAACACATCCTCCATTTAATAGGTAAATTTAAACTTAAATTATTGAATCAATTAAAAATGCTAAAGACAATATTAAGATAGTTTAAGCTTATTATTATTCTGTTAGAATATTTGAAAAACATTTACGTGAAGCAATGGATAGAGGAGTGAAAGTGGAAATTATAACAGCAGATAAAAGAGATTAGCCTGTATATAGATATGCATTTAATCGAATATTATTTTAAGGTGTTATTCACAGAAATCTTAAAGTTTATGAATTCCCTGAATAATTATTACATATGAAAGGATATGTATTTGATAATAAATAATTATTTTATGGTTCATTTAATAATGATAGATGGAGTTGGAAATTAAATCATGAATTTAATATACTTACAGAGGATGAGAATGAAATCAAAATGTTTATGGATATATATAATGAAACTAAATTAAGAACTAGATAAATTGATTATAAGAAAACAGGTACTCCTTTAAGATGGATAAAGATGAAATTTTGGGAATGGTTCATTTATTAGAGTGAAATATTAATGAGTAAAAATTAAGGTTATCATCCTAATAAATATAAATATAATTATTTACTAAATACATGGGATGATGGAATAGGTAATTATTTTTGAGTATATATTTTTATAATTTTATTATAATTAAAATTTAAATGAATACATAATAAGAGTATTTCATTTAAATAAAAATAAACCAAATTAATTAAAACAAATAAAAATAAATAAAAAATATATGAAATTAAGCAACACTCCTCAACCTAAAATATCAAGACTTGATGACTCAACATCTACAGATATTCATAATATGTGTTATAGTAGAGTCAACATACTTACTAATGAAGTAGAAAAACTTACTGATGTACTTGGAACAGCCTCATAAGAAATGGAAGTTCTCAAGGAACATAATAGAGATTTATAAAATTAATTATAAGAAATGGAGTAATCTAATTAAATTGTAAGTTTATATAATATATTTAGTTAAATTAAGAATATGATAATTTATGTGATAGATTAAAGTAGAAAAGTATTGAGTCTGAAGAATATGCATTTTAAGTTTAAAAATTAACTCTTCAGAAATAAGTATATTTTTTAATAATATCAAAGGAACTTAGTCAAAATCTCAATAAAGTCTTAAATGAATTAGAATAGACTAATTAAATTATTGAAATAAAAGATTAAGAAATTTAAGCAGGCAAACAATAATTTATAACAAAAACAGAAGAATTATAATAAAGTTTATAATAAACCTATCATTTGGATTAAGCTTTAAGAGTAGTTAAGGAAGAGAAATTAAAATATATTTATGAGTATTAATAACTCTAAAAAGTTCTTAAAGAATAAGCAGATTAAATAAATGAATTATTAGAAATTAAAAATGCTTATGAATTATTAAAAATAGACTTAGATGTTCTTAGAGTCAATTATTCAAATTTATTGAATTAAAAATTATAAGAAAAATAAGAGTTAGAAGCTTAAATTGATGTATTACGTGACATGCATGGTTATACTGTAGAAGATGCTGAGATGAAATTTGCTGTAAAATTTATATAATATTATTAGAATTAAATCAAATAAGAAATTGATAATTATAAATAATTATATGATGAATAATATAAGGCTGAAAGAATGAATTATGAATCAATTATTGATTAATTGAAAAATTAAGTGAATACTTTATAATTGTAATTATAAAATGCAGAATTATTGATAAATACTCATAAATAAAATTTAATGAACCAAACGTAATTAACCATGTTTGAAAAAAATAATTAAGTGAGTGAGTTGAGAGCCTAGAATTTTGTACTTTAAGAATCATTAAGAACAATGAATAGAGAATTGAATGAATTGAAATAATAAATGGAAAGTGGTAACATTATAAGATTTGATGATGATGTTAGAAAATAGATAGAATATAAATTAGATTTATGTTAATAGATGTAAAAGGAAAGGGATGAATTAAAAAAAGAAAATGAATAATTAAAAAGAGAGAATAGATTATTAAAAGAAAATAATGAATTGATGTCTCAATAAATGCAACAATAATCAAATATTAGTTAATTACCTTAATCGATAATGATTAGTTAAGTTTAACCTTAAGGTAATTAAATTTTATTATAAATTAAGGTATTCCTTCAAATTAAAAGATAACTGATAATGAGAAAATTAAATATTTACTAAAAGCCGTTGACCAATTATAAAATGCAATAAAAGATAGAGATTTAGAAATTAATAAATTATCACACCTTGCTAGTACTAATGCAGGTCTGTCTTAATTAGTGAATAAACCTAGGTCATAAATAAGATTTTATCATTTAAACACAGACGATATGACTTCATTTGATAAATAATAATGATTTATATATATAATTTATAATTAATGAAAAAAAATAATAAAAAATCCTAAACCACAAAAATCAAGGTAACTCCTTGTTCTAATGATCGTTATTATATGGATTAGTTAATAGATGAAGATGTTTACCTTAAGTAAAATTATAAAGTTGTAAGGGAATTGGGAAGAGGTGGTTATGGAGTTGTTTATAAGGCGTATGAAATTAATCATATATTTTAGTCTAGGACTTAATTAAGGTTAAATTGAGAAAACTAAAAAATATGCTATAAAGGTTAATTTTTCAACAGTGTCTCCAGAATTAATTTTTGCAGAAATTGGATTTTTAAAATTAGTTTATGGTAAAGAGAATATGCCTTAATTGGTGAATTTATTTTTGAAGGATTAAAAAATATATATAGTAATAGAATACTTTACCTATAAGCCATTTATTGTAAGTAATTCATATTAATAAGACATTTTTTGCAAATTTTGATATGATGTAAATAAGAAAATATCTTTACGAATTATTGAAGGCATTAAATATTTTAAAATAGAATGGTATCTATCATAGAGATGTGAAACCTGGTAATTTTCTTTACAATCCTAAAACTTGTAAGGGAATTCTTATTGATTATGGACTTAGTGAAATTGATAGGTCATTTGTTGCAAAATTGATTGAAAAGGAGAAAGATTTATCTAAGAATGTAAAAATTAAGTAAAAAATATTAAAGAACCCTTAATCAGATGAAGTCTAAGAGATTAGAAGAAAAATTAATTTATATAACGAAATTTAAAAAACGATAGATTAAATTGGATAAAATAAAATAGGTACAGAAAGTTTTATGCCATTAGAAAGTATTTTGCATCATCATGTATAAAAAATATTAATTATAAAATAGGATTAATCATATGAAGTTGATATGTGGGCAGTTGGTGTTATATTTTTATAGTTTTTAACTAAGAAATATAATTTATTTAGCAATGTTAGAATGATTAATAAACCTGTTGGTCCAAAAAATTTTTTTTATGTTAACTTTATTTTGGAATTGGCAAGTTTATTTGGATCTGAATAAGTAAGATAAATTTGTGATTTGTTTGGTATTATTACTTATTAATTTAGAGTATGATTTAAAATTACCATCAGTATCAGCAACAAAACCTATCAAATGGAAATAAATAATTCACATGGAAGGTTTTGATGATAATGCTGAAGATTTATTATAAAAATTGCTTTGTTTACATCCAAAATAAAGAATTAAAGTTGAAGATGCATTAAAGCATCCTTTTTTTCAAACTTTAATATCTTAAGAATTGTAAGCAGAAACTAACTTTTAATTAGAATAAGAATTTAATATGATTAAACAAATTGAAATATGAATTAAATTTTATCTATATTTTATTAAAAAAACTCTCAATCTTATTTTTCAGTTTGGGATATTTCATTTATATTTTATTATATACCATCTTAATTATCTAACTATTCCACCTTATCTTATTATTCATCTTATTATTTTTATAATTCATCTTATTATTTTTATAATTCTTCTTATTATTTTTATAATTCTTCTTATTTTAATTATTCATCTTATTTTCTATAATAATAAATAATTTTAATACTTAACAACTGTAATTTTTAATGCTTTTTCTTTTGGTTTGTTTGATTATACAGGTATTTTTTATTATATTTTAGAAGGATCAGAAGATTTGGCTAGTATCTCATCTACTTTTTATCTTAATTCAGTCATATCTTTTGGAACTTCTCTAGCATCTCGAACACTAAAATAATAGAGATATAATAAATACATAATGAAGTAAGAATCCTTTAAAAGGAACCATGGACTTTTACTAACTGTATTTTAATTGAATTTAAGCAATTACCAATCAAAACTTGCAGTTACTAGATCAGTGATTGTAAAACTGAATATATTATTTATTTTAATAGCTTCAATAGCATCTTAATTTATATTAAATAAATTTGATATAACATTGGATGCTTCATGCATTGTGTCTGTACTATTAAGAAAGATCTCTTTTGGAGGAAATGAAAGAGTAAAATCTTTTGGATTATAAAATCTCACATATCCTAATAATTAATTTTCTTTGATTTCATCTTATTTTTCTAATTTTTCAATAATAATTGTTTGATTATCAAATAGCCTTAAATTTTTTAATAATTAATCATCATGATAAACTTGACTAAGTTTTGTATTTAATTTATATCTCAATCTAATAAGATTTGGTTACAATGTAATTTATTTTAATTCTTCCAATTTTTAACACAATTTTTCCTTAAGTTCTTTAACATACCATTCAGAATTAATTTCCATATCAAACAAATCTTAATATTCAAATTCAATAGTATCAGAATATTTTGGTGAAAGTCCTCCCATTCCTACTTTAATTTTATATATTCCTTTAGTTGATGGCTTACCCATCATTAAACAAAAAGCTGCTCTACCAATAGCTTAATTGTTCTTTATTGTAGTAGTTAAATCTTTAATTTCCTCACCATATCTATTACTCTTTTTAACAATAAATGAATCAATATCTATACCTAAGAAATCACTCATTCTTTCTTTTAATTCTTACATAGTTTTTCTATTATCAATTTATAATTCAAAACAATAATCAGGAGATTCTAATGGTAATAATTATTTTCTAGGATCATTGAAAGTGACTCTACATTTATGTTTTTCACATTCAAATTTTTAATCCCAATTTAATGGAAGATCAATATCATCTTATTTTTCTTCTAAATATAATGTTACATTTCTTCCAATTTTAAGATCATAAAGTGTAAAATCTAATTAATGTTATTAGTTCATTCTAATAGAATAATTTGTTGCTCCATTTATCCAATTCTTTTATAAGATTATTTATTTATCTTTAGGTACTCCTAATCGTTAAGTAATTGTATCCATAAATTATTCAACAGTTTTATCATCTCGAATAAATATTTTAAGAGGTTTCAATTCTGATTCATCTAATGATTCAATATCATTTCTCCAAACACATAATTTTATCAACATTAAATGAGGATCATAATCTTCAAATTTTTCATGTGGTGTTTTTGTTTCTAAAAGAACAGATTTAAAATCATTAAAATATAAACTTTACAATGTTTCATTCTCTTTATTTGTAAATGTATCTTATGGAATGTTATCCATATGATTATAGAATCTTATTCTTGTATTCTCTTCATCTTCTTATACATTCAATTCTTACCTGACTTATAATTTGAAATCTTTCAAAAGAGTATCTTTTCTAGTTTTTATAACAGCATCATTATTTTTATAAAAACATCTAATTTTTAATTCCATTTCTCTTTCTTTCTTTTCTCTTTCCCACTTCTCCTCTCTTTCTTTCTATTCTTATAATTCTTTAACTATTGCTTCTTTTAAATGTTCTTAAATAGTTGGCTTTTAAGTGCTTAGTTCTTCACCAGCTCTTCTATACATTAAAAAATATGCACTACTTCCCATATTATATTTTGGATATTTATCTCCAAACATAGTTAATATTGTTTTCCAAGATATTCTTGAAACTGTAGAATCATTAAAACAATACCAATCTCCATTTTCAAAAGATTTTATATATGCATAATAATGTCCTCCTAATGCTCCTCCTGAATGAATCATAACTGAATATAATTCATAAACATTTGGTCCATTTTATAATAATTCTTAGATTTTTTATTTAATTGATAAATTATGAGATTCATTTTCAATTCTTTCTTAAATTTCTTTTTCATCATAATTCTAAGTTTTTGCACTTCCTTATACTTCTTTAATAGTTTTAACAGTATTAGCAGTAGTACCTTCTCCTAAATCACCTAAATTATCTAAATTTCCTCCAAATAAAATATCATTATCAAAATCATATGCTTCATCAGCTGTTAAAATTAGATTAGGATTATTTGGTATAGTTTAAGATGTAAATTAAGTTTAAGATGTATTAGTTGATTTTAAACTTTAAAATTTTTATTAGAATTCTTAATGAGCTTCTAATAATTACTTTTTGAATTGTAATTTATCATCTGGTTATACTATTTATGGAGTATCATTAAAATGAACCTTTGAAACTCTTTCATCTGGAGAGGGTTTTCTATTCTTTCTCCTTAAAGGATCACTAAAACAACCTTATAATTTCTCTTATTCATATTATAACTTTAATTTCTCTCTCTCTTCTAATAAATCTGGATGATCTTCAATAACAATTTAATCATAAGGTTTAAGAAAATTGTTCATATCTAAAACAAAAGGGAAAGAAACATAATCATTAACCTTCTTTCTTTCAAATGTATTCATATCTAACTCAAAACGATTTAATTGAATTGTAAGAATATCAGATAATGCTTTCAATCTAAATCCTTTAAGAGCATCTGTTTTCTCATTACAATTTTAGCAGTAATATTTGTTTTCACCTTCCAACTTCTCAGGTTTTATATAATAGTATAGTGCTCTTTCCAAAGATTCATTGTAAACATTTAAAAAATCACTTTTTACAGTAAGTGAAAGATCTAAGAAAACTTCATTCGATACACTCTCCTATTAACACTTAAGACATTGCACATATGATTATGAATGAGATTGATATAATCGTGTGATGAAATCTTAATCATCAGATTATTAAATTGCATCAAAAAGTACTCTGCAAAATTCTTAAACATCATGTTATGCAAATGATTCTTATGGATCCCATTAAAATGATCTCACTAAACCTCTTGCATCTGTAGCTCTATTTTCATATCCTTCTTGCATCTTGGTGAAAAGATACTATAATTGATATGGGATGCAATCTTCTCTTTTTGGATGCTTTGTTTCATCATACTTCCACTTAAAAAGAGCTTCTCTAAATTGACGAGTCATAAAGAGAGTTTGAAGGAGAGAATTCATGTAACATGTGTTACCCAAGTTATTTAAACCGCAATACATAATTATTTTAATATCATTCATAAAGTGATGCTATATCACAAAGAGCCTACTTTTAACTATTGTATAATACCAATTAATATTTAGAAGAGTTGAGCAATCTCTTTCCAATCAAGATGCCTTTTCCCATTAAAGACAAAGGAGTAGGTGGATTTGGAATCTACCCTATGATAGTAGAAAATAGATAATCAAAAACTGGAGCAATTGAAGTATCTCCAATCGAACTATTGTCAATTTATATAATGTACCAAACTTCAAAATATTCCATCCCATATTTACGAGCCATACCAATGGCTTCTGACTTTGATACACCTCCTTTATTACTGGCATAGAGATCGATCTTGTTTCCAATAAGAACTTTAACAGGGATCTCAGTTTTTTCATTTTCAGTTATCCAATGTTCTATCTTTTCAAATGTCTATCTCTTTGATACTATTTATTTAAATAATTCAATTACCATCAAACATATAGATGGCTGCTGTAGCTCCAAGACAAAAACGAAAGAAGGTATCAGGACTACGATGTTTTCCAGGGATTTCCCAATATGCTATCTTGTATAGAGTGTCATCATCCATATAACCAACAGTCTTAATTATTTATATTGAATTATACCTTCAAATTTAATTCATCTGATGCTTCCTATTCTATTATCTTACCAAAGGTTATTGCCAATACTTTAAATTTTATGATTTAATTTACCATCTAAAAAGGTTGATTTTCCAACTGATTTCTCACCTTAACATACATTAGAATGGTACCTAAAATGACGATGCGGAACTTGAAATGATAGTCTTCAGAATCCATTTATTTTATTTATAAATATTTATAATGGCTCTTCCATGTGAGGATTGTATAAAAAAATTAAAAATTAATGACTGACCAAGAAAAGAGTTATGATGTTAAACTAACCTCTGACACTTAAAAAAATGTTCAAAAACAAAAGACAGGATTAAAGTAGATCAATCTTGATAATCTGGTGTACAATAAGAGAGAGAGAAAGTAAACTGGTATACAAGGTAACAAGATCTCTTACTCTTAGCACTTTAACCTATGCCTATAATTCATCACAACAAAGTCATTCATAATAAGTAAGGTCGTAAAAAGAAGAATACTGAATTGCATACCCCGCCAAGAGAAGAAGTAAAACAAAACTAAGAACCCACTTAAATCAAATAATTATCAATATCCTGTGAATAATTGGTTCTCGAATCAGATAACTTTTCTGAGTTCGATCCCAAGATCAAACCTAAGAAATCCAAAAAGTTTCGTAGAACACACAAACATATAGATTTAGAAGACTCTTCTGATGAAGCTCAATACAAAAGTAAACTTATTCTCAAGAGAGTCAATAAGATATTTAAAAAATCTTATGAATAAAAATTAATCCTATCTTCAGGTAGTGAGTAAGAGAATTTAGTCAAAGAACTATTTAAGAATATTTATGTAAAGATATTTTAAGGTACAAAAACAATTTTAAAAAAAGATATTCCTGTGACTGCAGCAGAATTGAAATAACTAAATTAACCTGAGTGTTCAACAGGATAAGAAGGTGATTGCAAATTATTGGAAGAAGAACCAAAATAAGATGAAGAACCTTTGAGAATATTAACTGAAGATGGAACAGATTTTGAAACAAAACGTAATTTGAAACTGTTAGGAATTGAAAATTAAGAAATATTATCAAAATTAGGAGAAATTAAATCTTATATTAATTGTGATATAAGATATTTTAATATTGACTTTCTAGTTGAGAAAGTGGGTGGTTTTGATGGTAATTTATAGGAGTATGTTGTTTAGTTGTTTTAATGGATCCTCCCTGGAGAATTAAAGGAGGATAATAGAATGATTCTTCATTTATGTTCACCAATAGTAAATTCTCTTTAGATTATAATACTATGAGTAATCAAGAAATAATGGATATTAAAATAGAGAAATTAAGTAAGAAAGGCTTTCTATTTCTTTGGATTCTTAATACTTAACTTAATATAGCTTATGAAATGGCTAGTAAATGGGGATATGAAATAGTTGATCAAATTATTTGGGTGAAATTAAATCCATAAGGCAACAATGTTTATCTTTCTACAGGATATTACTTTATGCATTCATTTGAAATATGTCTAGTTGGGTATATATATATATTATGATTATATTAAAATAGTTATAAATGTCCTCCAGGTGAACATGTAGAATATCATTCAAAAATATCAAACAATATTATTTTTAGTTCAGTAAGAAATAAATCTTAGAAACCAATTGAATTATATGAAATAATTGAATTGATGATGCCAGGTTCTAAGAAAGTTGAAATATTTGCTAGAAATCATAATTTAAGACATGGATGGTTTTCTATTGGAAATTAATTAGGAGAAACCTTTTAAAAATGGTTAGTATAGATAAGTTGTAATATATGTGGAATCTCATTACAACCAGGTATATGTAGATATAAATCTAAAAAAATTTCAAATTTTGACATTTGTTAGAATTGTTACAATAAAAAGATTAAGTATTGATTTAATTATATAATTTAGTGATGGTGAACTTACAGAAAATGATATGTTCTTTTTAGCTAATAAAGCAGATGAAGAAGTATTACATTAATATCATTAATGTAATGGTTGTGATTAGAATCCTATATGGGGAGCTAGATTTGAATGTGTCACTTGTGATAATTATGATTTTTGTGAAGCTTGTTTTGATAATCTATTGATAAATGGAGATCCTATTCATAAAGATCATGAATTCAAAGTGATAGAATTACCAACATTTGCTGAAGGTATACCTTGTCATGATTCTAAATGTAATGGATGTTTTCAAAAACCAATTCTAGGTGTTTAATTTATTTGTAAATAATGTACAAATTTTAGTTTATGTAATTATTATTATTTAATATATAGGTTAAAATTGTTTCTTTACTAGAACATAATCTGAATTAAATGGACAAAGACATAAAGCTGATCATCGTTTTGAACCTATTTATGAAGTTTAGAATTATCAAAAAAAAACTTATAAATGTTAAGGTTGTGAATTAGAGAAATCTGTAAGTGTTTATAAATGTGAAAATTGTTTTGGATTTTATTTTTGTGAAGAATGTTATGTACTTAAAAAAGATGATTGGAAATGTTATGTAGCTACCAGTCATAAAAATTATCATACATTTATTAAGATATGATATGATATAAATATATATTATCACATTTTAATATTTTTATTCCATATTCCCTAAATAGTATTAATATTTGTATAGTAAGCACTAAATCATTAATAAAATAATACCCTCTACCACATGCTTTCCCTAATTGAAATACTCCATGAAATCTAGAATTATCACTAAATGTCCATATTCCATAACCATGAAATAAACCATCCTAAAATTCTCCTTAATAGCTAAACCATTTATTTCCTACTGAATCTAAATTTCTATAATCTATAATTCCAAAATCTACTGTCTCATTATTTAAATGACCAAATCCATTAAATGTATCATCTTTCCAAAATCCTTATTATCAATATATAATTAATACCCATATATAATTTCTTATCTCCTTTCTTTAAATTTCCATATCCTTATCTTTTTTCATTATAAACTGATCCAAAATAAGTAGTATCATCTAAATTTAATGTTTTACTATTTGAAATCTATAAATTTCTAGGAGATTATTAAGAACTATTGGTACTACTGTTTACAATCATAATTTTTTTTCCATTTGGTGATGAACATACTTCATGAAATGAATTTGTATGTTTTTTTTCTTTTTTAAATGATTTATTCAAATTATTAGTATTTATTTTTGATGTATAATAAAATGAATTTGATTATTTTTCTATCATTTATTATTATTCCAATTATTAAATTTTTTATGATTAAATTTAACAAATTTTAATTTATTCATCTAATTATTTTTTTAATTGTAATAACTATTAATTTAAAGTAACAATTTCTTATTATTTAGAATCTAAATCAAGTTAAAAAGATTTATTTTTTAATTCCAAATCTACTAATTATATTTATTATTCTTTAACTTCTTCATATTATTATAATAATTTTAAATCTTATATTTCTAATTTATCTTTTAATATATCATTTTGATCTGTCAATTCTTCAATTTTTAATTATAATTCTTTATAATCTATATTATAATCTTCCAAACAAGATGATATATTTGATTATCTTGTAATAGGAGAATTTAATTTAAGATTTAAGTTTTCTAAAGCTTTCTACATTATATTATTAATTTATATACTTAAAGTACTCTTCTTTAAAGTTATAATCTATTTCTATTGTCTACTTCTCTTTCATCAAAAGTAAAATGACTTTCATGAAATGATATATTATTTAAGTAATTTTTGACTAAATTGACTAGTTCATCTGCCATTTGAATAATTTGATCACTATAATCATTTGAAGATATTGTTTTCAAACCAAAACTATTTTCTAGTTAGATAGCATTTATGCCAAATTAATTTTCATTGTCATGCAATAAATTAGTTGATTAATTCATATGTTACCGTTCTTTAATACGGATTTAACTTTTATTGTATGGAGATAGCTAAGAAGACTCTCCAATAAGATCTTCTTAAACTTTTTCTGGAATAGGTATGGATCTCTGTCTTCTATATTTGTATCCAATAGTATTAGTAGTTCTACTCTACTTATATCATCAAATTACTTTTCTTGAGGTTCAGAGAAGCGAACCTATTTATAGCTAGTTTAAGAGTAATTGTCATCTGGAATGAAGTACGATATTACTTCTTCATCAGGAATACAGTTATCTCTACCAGAATTTGGTGGAGAAGAAAATGAGACGGTAAGTTTGGATTCTTTGAAAAATTATTCTTTTTAGTCTTAGGAAAGTGGGCTTTCTAAGATTGTGGGATATATTAATACATATGTCTATAGAAACTGTTTTACGAAAGATTGGCTATGGTGGTTTGAGGGTATGGGCTATGAAATACCTAGTTCCAATAAATCACATACCTTAATCGTGCATTTATTAATTTAATATATGCCACCAAAAGGAAATCAAATTCACGTAAGCAATATTCAAAGTTTGGCTAAAAATGAAGAAGTAGAATAGTTGCTATCAAGTATTGGACCATTGGTAGAATGGGCACCAAAGTATATGAGTTAATAAAATATATAGACGAGAAGGGGAAGTAAAATTCTCATGTACAGCTGAATATTATGATGAATTTACAGCAAATATTGCAGTAGAAACATTAAATGGATATAAATTTTAAGGAAGAGAATTAAAAGTGAAATTACATACAAATCTAAGCACGTACAAAATATGTATGATTTCTTTATTATATGTTTTTTTATTAAAGTACCTTATGCTATAGAGAAAGTGAATTATAAAACATCGAATACATATAGTATGAGTTTGCCTTTAGAAGAATTTTACACTAGTCTTACAACAACTAAAAAATTAGAAATTGTCATTGATTTGAAACATACATTTTAAAATAGAGAAGAATTGTTAGAGAAACTTCTTTCAGAGAATCCACGAATGACTGAATTCATTCTAAAAATTCAGAAAGATGTTATCAAAGAATTTAAAGCAAGTAATTGTAAATATTGAATAACAAGATAATACTAATAACGATGACATCTCACATTATAATCACTATCAACAATTTCAGGTATATTCTAATTTATTTTTTAGAATCACCAAAGATATTGATGAATCATATATTGAAAAAAACTTTATTTGTTGTTGGATAACATTCATTTATAAAATAATACTAAAGGGCAATGATATGTGTATTAAAATCTGCTTTTTAATATTTTCTTTTTTCTTTCTCTTAAATTATTTATAAAATTATATCAAAAACTATATCCTCCGCATCATTATTTATATACATGTATAAGTAATATATTAAATAATCACATTCATTTTTATCTATTCTTTAAACTAGGCATTAATTAACATTTTTATGCTATTAAAATATCAAAAAATAATTACTTGTTTTTTTTTAACTTCTTTCACTTATACTAACCTTTTTATCCAAAGTTTAATTATTACTAGTTTAACAACTTGAATCAGGTTTTGATTTCATCATATTTTATAATTATCTAGCTGATTATTACTAATCTTATTATTATGATTATTATTATTTATATTATGGAGTTGAAAATTAATTCTTTTAAGACTATTACTCATTAAATTTTTAACAATAATCTGTTAAAGTATGATTTACTTATGATTGATATTCTTAATTGATTGTTTCAATATCTAAATCACTTGAATATCGTTTATTATTTTTATCACCATTTTAAAATGGATCATATGATTTAAATTATAATGTATCTAATTTAATAGAGTTTAATTTCTCTATTATTTCAATTAACAATTTCAAAGTGTTTTCTAATAATAGAGGTAATAAATTATTCTATAAATCCAATTAAATTGAATGAAATGAATTAAAGTATTATTTTACCATCCAATTCAACTTCTCATTAACATCACTTATTTGAAATAACTTTTTAAATCTATTCTCTATTGTTTCATAACTAAATATATATATATATATATATTATACCTATCTATCTTTATCTATTCTTTTTATATAGGTTCGAAATGTTTAAATTTAATTGGACATTTGACATAACTATTATCACTACTGCTACTGCTACTTCCATCTGAAGATAATTCACTATCAATTGATTATGATCGTTTTTATTTTGATTTTACTTTCACAACCGGTGATTATAATTAACTTTTCATAAAATCAATATCTGATTTTATTGAAGATAATTAAAACTTCAATCTATTTGATTCAGCTTCCTTTCTTCTTTAAACATGTTGCATTTCCATCATAAATAAATCATTTTAAAATTCAAGGTTTTTTATCTTTTTAAAGGCTTCTTGACTCCTATATGTATCATTATCACACTCTTCAGTGTTTAAAGAATTCATTTGAAATGGTATTTTATGTTATTTCTAATGTTATTAAACTAATTATGTACTCTAGTTGTACTTTAATTCCCTGTTTCAAAAGTGAATCCCTTATTTTTTGAAGTAGTACTCACCGGTTCTTCAGACCTGAAACTTTTCATTGGCAGAATAATTGATAATTATATTTATAAATTTTATTTCCCTATTTAATAATGGTGACTTTTATGCGTTATCTTTGCGATCCTACATTAAATTAACCTTAAAAAAAATATACATGTAAGAACCTAATGGAAAAAACATCATTCCTTAACCTTAATTGATTTCAAAATGATGTTTAATGATAATAATATTGATCATATTTCTAATTTGACTGAGAAATAATCAGATTGGGAACCTACTTCCAATACGTTGAATAACTTAATCAACTTAGAGTGAGAAATCTAAATAACAGCAAAAAAAACATTATAACCTTAATTACACAATATTCAATAAAAGAAATTAAAGATAAAAGTAGGAATGGAAAGGATGGAAAAATCAATTAATTTAATATATCAATCAAATTAGTTGTAATAAGTAAGAATGAATGAAGTAAAGGAATAACTTATTATAAGATTCTTATCAATATTTGAGTATGTAGGATTAAATTTCAAAAAAGTAATATAAGAATGAAAAAATAATGTTTATGTTACTAATAATACATTAATTTGATTTTTGATATCGTATTGATATATATTATAAATTAATATATATTAATGCTGTAAATATACATTTCTATAATCAATTTATTATGATTAAGTTGTCTAAATGCATTAATAGTATTATAATGTGATTTTATTATATAAAAATAATAACTTAAATTAACTAATTGATATAATATTTAATCGTTTAGATCACTTAAATTTAATAGAATATTATTATTAAAATATGATTGTTATATGAAGTAATTATTAATATATTTACATAAGTTTAAAATCAGAAATTGAGATGCATGTTAATTCTCTAAATGCTAGGTAATTCAGTATGAAAAATGAAGTACTTCTTGAGTGTGAGTTAAAATCATTAATTATTTGTGCTTGGATTCTGAATATTAATTAGGAATTTAATTATTTTGTTAGCTTTATGATTTTTCGTAGATAGACAGATTTATTGTGTTATAAGATGCTTTAAATCTGAATAAAATTATCTATTAATTAACTATATAACTTAGATAATCAATTATATAATAGTGTCAGAAATACTGGAATTAATGAAGGACAAATTATTTAAGTTCTTTTTTAAAGGAAGGTATCAATAATATTGGATTTGATTAGAAAAGATGTATATTAAGTATATAATTATATTAGTATATTTTTGGAATATAATTGATAAAGAAGTGATCAACAAATTTTGCTTTGGTAAATCATTGATTAATTAATTAATGGAGTAAGTTTTGGTTCAATACTTTTTAGAATGGAAGTTCCATCGTTTTAGTTAAGAGTTTTACTCCTATGGTGTTGAATAAATATAAAATAGAGGCATTTTGATTATAAATTTGCTATGGGTTATTTTACATATCTTTTATTAATTATTTTTAATGAGCAGAAGAGATCAGATAGAGAAAGGTAAATAAAGAAATTATTCTAAGATAAGTAAGCATTACTTTCTAAGCCATGGGTTAAGAATCATCCCATCTTTACATATGATCATATTGCAGAATTTTATGAAATGTTCATTCTTTATGCTGAACCCAGAACAAAGAAAGCAGATGTGAGAGATATTCTTGTCACAGCCAAGACACTTGGTCTTACTGACAAATTTCCAATTATTGCACATGCACTTGATGATTTGGCTTCTAATTATGATGATGCAGTTGATTTTGAAACATTCATTTCAGATTTGACAGCTAAATTAGTAATATTAATAAGGTATATTATTTAGGGTAACCCATTTGATTAAAAGGGAAGAGTCTAATTATTCAAACTTATAGATGTAGATGGTAAAGGAACTTTAGATAAAGGAGATTTATAGAAAATATCTGAAGAATTAAGATTCAATTTGAATGAAGAAGATATTCAAGAAATTATTCATAATGTTGCAGGATATGAAGCTGAAGATGTCTCAGAAGAGAAATTTGAAAAATATTTAGGCAAAAGAGTTTAAAGAAGATAAGTTGAATAAGAGATCTATAGAAACAAATGAAAATAAATAAAAATAAAAAATATTATTGTAATTCCTTAGATATTTAGTTATTTCTTAATAAATTTATATATATCATTTTAAGCTAGTTCTTATTAGATTCTTAGTAATTACAATATCATAATACAATATATATTTATATAATTAATATATCACTCTTACTTATTCAAAAGGTATTTCAATAAAACCTAAGTACCAAATCCAGTTGCTCCTAAAGGATAGATACCTTTATCTGTCTTACTTTCTTTTGGTCCTGCAATATCAAGATGAGCAAATGGAATCTATTCTACTAATACTTAATACCTTATCATCAACAAAATTGAATAAAAATGCTGCTGCCTTGCTTGCTCCACAAATTTTTGATTTTCCAGTATTACATAAATCTGCAAATTTACCTTTCATCATATCTTGATGTTCATCAGTAACAGGCATTCTCCAAAATGGTTCTTATAATTCTTTTCCTATTTCTAAAAGTTCTTGTGACAACTTATCGTTATTACTGAATAATCCACCTGTATTTTCTCCTAAAGCTGCTTTACATGACCCTGTTAATGTTGATATTTCCACAATTGTAGTTGGATTATAGATAGCCTATGTCCAACTTAAACAATCAGCTAAAACTAAACGTCCTTCTGCATCTGTATTATTAATTTCTACTGTTAATCCTTTATGACTTTTCAAAATATTGGATGGCTTATACGATGTATTTGAGATTGCATTTTCAGCCATTCCCAAAGTAATTGTAACATTTACTTTTAATTTCATATCTACAGCTCCTTTAAAAGCAGCCAATACATTACAGGCTCCAGATTTATCAAGATACATATTTTCCATATGACCATAAGATTTTAAATGTAAACCTCCAGTATCAAATGTAATCCCTTTACCCACTAATGCATGTAATTCCTGTGAATTCTTATTCCCTCTATATGTCAAATTGATTAATGTAGGTGGATGAATTGATCCTTATCCAACTGCATAAAAGAGATTCAATTAACATTCTTGTAATTATTTGCCTTCTAAAATTTATATTTCAACATTTGGATTATCTTTGAATAGCTTTTTAACTTCATTAACAAAATATTAGGGTGTTCCTTCTTGCCTTGTATTTGCCAGATCTCTTGCATATAACTTTATTTAAGCTAATTGAACTAATTGTTAAAAGTAAGGATCTTCAAATATATTTTCTTAAACATATAATTCCTATATATAACTATATTGATCATTATTTTCATCACTTTACTACTTCTCTTATGCTAAATCTCCTAATAACTTGTACTTATAATTTGCTTGAATCAATCCAGAAATTACTTAAGATGTTTCTTTCAGATTTAATTCATTTTGACTTAATACAACTGTACCAAATCCATATTTTCTTGCTCTCCTCACTATTTCTCCTCCTGCATTATAACAAGAACCCTTTACTCCTACTGCTAGTCCAACTTTCTCTTCTCCAAAAATAAAGCTCTACCCTCCCTTCACTACTTTATTAACTTTAAGTCGATGCAAATGACGAGAAATTTGTTATGAATTACACCTATAGAGATTCAAAAATAGACTTTAAGCCCAGTTTTAAGATTATACTGGAGGCTTATATGAATTAATACAAAGCTACTTTACTTTCATATTTTATATTCTGATAAAATATATAAAAAAATTAGTTGTAGCCAAGAAGATTTTGGATTTAGGCTCCAATCAGCAAAGGTGCAAATTCAAATAAAATCTTGCCTTAAGCATAATTTTTTTTATGACAATTTTGCAAAATAATTAAAGAGGCTCCTAATTTTATCCTTAATTTAGAAGTTTTGTATTATTATTTTAAATAAATCTTATAAAAAAATATTATGATGACATTTAATCAATTACTCAAAGTCTAAATAATTATGAGAAATAAACTATTAAAATCTAGTTGATAAATTTTATTCATATATATATATAGTCAAAGTCCTTTAATTCTTAAAGCATTGGCTCTATTTACTATCTATTGATATTTATCTTGAATTCTATTTAAGTAAGCTAAAATAATATTAATTATACAAATTACAATTGATATCATGATTATTATTATTATTAAGTGCTTATGTAATATTTGTACTATTAATTTAATCTTATGAAGGAGAACAGGATAATCTTTTAGAAGTTATTTAGCCATCCCTATTACTTTAACATTTAAGTTATAATTTCGAATCATTTTATTGTAATCTTGACTATATTTATCTAGATTGATCATTCATTCTCTTTGGTTAGCTTATTTATGGTTTGAATGTACAGTCTTACATCTCTTTTTATTGTTTTTCCCTTTCATGTACCTTTTTTTTAAATTATCTTAAATAGTTATAAATGTAGATACTTCCTATCTTCCATTTACAACCCTTATTAATATAAATCATGTCCTTTATTCTTAATTTCAAAAAGACAAGTCTGATTTTCACCTTTAATTTATTTATCTAGTTTGGCAATGTCTTACTTTAATTTATTTTGCATAACTTTTAATTGATCATGTAAAATTTCTTTAGGATAAGATGTAATGCTTTAAATTTCAGGAACAGATTCTTGTTTTTATTTTTTATTAGAATTTTTAGAAAGATCAATTTTTTGAATTTACTTTTCAACAGTCTTCTTTTATTTTTATTTAGGTTTCTAAATTATTTTACTGTTTGATTTGGTTCTATCTATTTATTCTTTTATTTATTTTTTTCTTTATTCATACTTTTATTCAGCTTCTTAATCATTCATTTTATTATAAGTTTTAAGTTCACTAATCTATGGCTATTCAATATCCTTAAATAAAGATTTGTATTAAATTTGTATAGGTTCTGTTTCTTCGGTATGTTTATTTTTTTGAGGACTGCTAACTGGATTTGCTAAAGTTATTAAAAGAAGTTACTTATTGATTACACTACAATATTAGAATTTGAAAGTTGTTGTTTCTTTTATTTGGCTTCCTTGAGTTTATTCAACGTATTCTATAAGTCTATGGCTTATTTTGATAAAGCCTAAGGAATTTAGCTTTGCTTTTTAAATGCTAAAGCTGAGACAGGAGATAAAGCAGAAGTTGGTACTTTTGTTAAAGGGGAATTAGACATATTTTTAATTAAAATAACAGAATGAGTATTAAACATTTTGTTGCATCATTTGGTATAAGGTGTTTTTTGAAATGCATTTCTTGATAAGGTCAATCTTTAACACTCCATAACCATAATTAGAATAGTAATATCAATAATAAGTCCATAATCAATAATAGATGGGAATCTAATTTGAGATTTTTATCATTATTTTAATTTATATAAATTTCTTTATCTTAATGCAAGTACCTTGTCGAACAAAAAATGTGAATAAATATTATAAAGTGATTGCAGAGGTAGGTTCAGGTACATATGGAAAAGTGTATAAAGCTAAGTGTTTAAAAACAAATGATTTTGTGGCTTTGAAAAAAATTGATACAAAGGATCAAAAAATTATGGCAGAGGGTAATTATTTATTATATCATATGATTGTAGGATTTCCTATAACAGCTATAAGAGAAATAAAATTGTTAAAAATAATGAATCATAAAAATATTCTAAGATTAAGAGAGATTATTGTGAGTAAAGCATCTCATAGAAATAATTTCAGAGGTTCTACATTTTTAGTCTTTGATTATTATGATCATGATTTTGCTGGTCTTCATAGATAAAGAAATGTATTCACATTACCATAATTAAAATGCATTTTTAAACAACTATTAGAAGGTGTTAAATATCTTCATGATAGTAAAATTATACATAGAGATTTGAAATGTGCAAATATTTTAATGAATAATAAAGGGTAAGTAACATTAGCTGATTTTGGTTTGGCAAGAACATTATCTAATGTGAGCAATCCAAAATATACTTATAAGGTAGTAACACTTTGGTATAGAGCTCCAGAACTCTTATTAGGATAAACAAATTATAATACTTAAATTGATATGTGGAGTCTTGGTTGCATATTTACAGAATTAATAACAGGAGATGTATTATTTAAAGGTGATATTGAGTATCGTTAAATGGAAAAGATTTATGAATTATGTGGTAGTGCTAATGAATAGAATTGGCCTAATTGTGTCAATTTAAGATAATGGGAGGAATTCAAACCTAGAAGAAATTATGAAAGATTACTTACTAAACATATAAAGGAACTTTGTTAAATATAAAATAAATAAATTGATTAAGTCACTTTAGATTTAATTGAATAATTATTAATACTTGATCCTACAAAAAGATTGAATGCAGCTTAAGCTTTAAATCATGAATTTTTTAAATAAGATCCAAAACCTTGTTAATAAAATGAAATGCCTTAATTTGACAAAGAATTTCATGAAACACTATTGAAAAATGATATTAGATTATAATAACATAGAAATGATAAAGCATAATATAGACCTTAAACAATGGCTTCTTTAAAATTTTAGAAATTGATTAAAGATGAAAGGAATTAAACAAAATAATAAGGTAAGGAGTAATCTCCATAAAGAGATAATAAAAGTAATTAAGAAGTAGATTATTATGATTTATTGAAACTTGAAATAGAAGAAAAAAAGAGAGTAAAATTAAATTGAAAATGGGTTTATTTATCAAAATTAACATTGCTTGTAATATTATTTACCCATTTCTATACAATTTTAAGCTTCTTAAGTTGTTAACATTTCTAAAGTTATCTTATATTCTGTTTTAATCATTCTTTTTGCTTCATTTATGTAATCATTATCTATATTCATATGAAATTCCTTAAATAAATTAAAAAATCTATGGTTAATATTTTATTATGACTATTTTATATATAAATTATTACATTCACAATTGGTTATTTAAAATAAAATGAAATTACATTACTATTTAATCTTTTACTACTTATTCGTTTTAAAAATATCATATAATATAGATATTAAATCTAAATTCCTTAATTCTATTATTCTGTCTTTTATTATAATTTTAATTTTTATTATAATATTGCTTATAATTTCTAAAACATTTATTTATCTTCTTTAACTAAACAAATGAATCCTTAATTTAATATTAATATTCTTTATTTTTGAGTACCAATTAATTTGCATCTAAATATGTTAAATTTAATATTATTCAATATATTTATTTCTATTATCATTTTTTTAAATAATCCTTTATTTTCATATCTTTTTATTGGATCTTATTTTAATGAATTAGTTCTAGAATCCTTCTTTAAAATTAGTGGTTAAATCTCAATAGGAGATGTATTATTTAAATGTATATTTTGTAAAATATTACATTCAATAATAGATGATTATCTATATGAAACAGATTATTATCTATTTGATTATTCTTGTGATCTAATTGAATCAAATTGTTCATCTGGTTACTTTTACAATTATTATTGTAATTGTAATTTATTAAATTTAAATGGTACTATAATTTAAGAACTATATAAACTATTTTAAGATCTTGTACTTGTAGTATCTTCTTCAGTATTCTAATAGCATGATTATTATTATTAAAAACAAATATAACTTTGTTTGATCTATTAATCAGATTAAAACTTTGAATATTTAATTATCTATATGAAATTTTAATTATTCTAAATTTTATCAACTAATTTGTATTATTTAATAGGTCCTCCAACATATTAAACTAATTCTTATAAATGTTTGTTAGAATAGATAAAGCATTTCATTTCAGGAGGCATTCTTACAATTCTACATTATACACATCCATTATTTGAACATAATCTACAATAATTAGTTTCAAGTTTTAATGATTCTGTATAATGAAGAGTCAAACAATCTAATTATTAATAATAATCCATAAGAATCTTTAATTCTTCTTTTGGTAAATCAAATATTTTAGAAGGAATACATGCAGAAGAAGGAGTATTTAATTTTAAATCAACTGCTCTATTTATAAATATAATGTATACTTTTTATAAATGTTTTTTAGTATTTCAACATTATCAATGTAGATTCCACTTAAAGTTTATGGTAAAAGTGATGAATCAATTGAAAGTAATTTCTCTCTAAAGAAAATAAGAACAGCAATCACAAAATAATATATCATTAATTAATCCTTTTTGATATATAACATCTCCCAAAGTAAATAAGTACATTCTAAAGACATTTTATTTGCAAATAGAGTTAACAACCAAGGTGTAGCATATAGTTCTGGTGAAAGTAAATTTTTATCCAAATAATCATACAATTAGAAATCATGAAATTTAAGAAGCTAATTAATCCATTAGAATGCAACTTATAATGATAAGAACTCTTCATCTTTAAAGAAATTATTATCAAGTATGATTTTACGAGCATATTCATATACTTTTTCCCATGAAAGTCCACTTTCATTAAAGACCGCTACAACAGCAAATATTTCATTCATTCCTTATTTGTAACTAATATTTTCCTATTAACAAAAGAAAACAATTATTTTTTCTAGAATTCCATGCATTTAAGGTTATAGTAATTGAGAACGAGTCCGTGGAATATCCATTTTCAAAGTACGATATTATGGCTAGTCAACTTATGTCTTATTTATTTCATTAAATGAGGGATGTGGTAATTAAGGTGAATAAGTGCCTAATAAAATCTAAATTTGAAATCATTTCAATACATCCCAAAAGAATGCTGTTTTTGATTACTCTATTTTATTTTGAAACATATAACTGAATATAAATTAAATAAATTATCATTAAAGAAAATCTAAACCTATTTAAGTCTTTTATTAGCTATCTACATTAATCATTCCTTATATAAATGCTTTTAAACATCTATTCATGAAAAATTGATACTATTCTAATAATTATAAAATTAAAACTTCTTTTTCTAATAATTTTTTATGGTATTATTTCCATATATATTATCTATTTATTTAAAACTATGATTTATGCAAAATATTAATTTAATTTAGGAATTCAACTTTAAGCATTCAAACAAATTATATACTGTACATATTCATAAATTTTCATAAAATTATATACTCTTTTTTAATATAAATCATCCAGATACAAATCAAAATTCATGAAAAATGTAGAGCCTTAATATAATAATTCTTTTATTTTTATTATTTATTGTCAAATTAGATTTAGATAATTTATAAATTCTTTACAATCCTAATAATTATTTTAGTTAATTTAGTTTTCTTTTATTTTTCAAATTTATTCATAATATTCTTAATTTTCTAAATCTTATAGATAATTAACTCACTTTTTATTAATAAATAAATGATTTAATTTATTGATTATTATTAAATTACTTAAATTCTCTCACTTATATTTTTGAATGCAAATATGATTATAAAAAATTAAAAATCAAATAAACTACTTTAGTAGTAATAATAAAATCTAGCATTTTGTTATTTTAGTTGTTGTTCAATAGAAATGTTAAACATTTTAATGTCTAATTTTACGATTTCATTTTAAATATAATAAGTTCCTATAGATAGGTTTGCATTAATTTAATTTGGAACTCTATTGATTGTTTATTTATATTTAAGAGACTATATTAGAATACAGAAGTAGCTAATCAATCATGTTAATTATCTATAATAATTTTATTTCATTTATTATTGATGAAAAGGAGTTATTACATAGATATAACTAATGATCGTATTAAATGATTCAAATTATATTTAGCTTTGTATGAATAATTGTAAAGTAAATAAACAACAAGAAGAAATAAAAAGTCAAATGATTTGAGAATCAAAACACAACCTAGTATGAATATGGAAATTTAAGATGCTCTCAATTTTCAGGAAGATTTTTAATTGCCTTCAACAGCAACTAACAATAGTTTATTGAAATACATCAAAAAGTAAGAATATGAGTAAGAACATTAATTAATAAAGAGTACAGTTAGTTAAAAATAAAAGAAGATAAACAAATGTTTCAAGAGATAATTCTGTTTGGCTTGGAGATTTATAAGAATCAGTTCCAAAAAATGATGATATACCTGAAGTTTAAGTATGATTTTAATTTTAAAAGATGATTAGGAATTTTTAGATGGTCGAACAAGAGAATTAATGATAAGAACAAGTCATGAAAATAAAAAGAGAATATCTAATATTATGTTAAGACTAGAAGATAATTAGAAAGAATTAGTTTCAAGACATAAGTCTTATGTAAATGAATTAAAGTTTAGTTCTTATAATTAAGAAGTTTAAAATTAAGAACTAGAACATTATATAACTCTTGGTTAGAATGATAATCCTAACCTTAATATAAAATTAATAAGTTCAAAAATCTTATAATCAGGACGAAATTCATCTTATTAAGGTCATAGATAACCATTAAAATAATTAAATTTGCAGCAAGTTAAAGAAAAAATTATATTAGATATGTTACGAAAAGATGTAAATTGTAAATCAGATCCTTTGAGAATGCAATTTTTCAATTTATATCGAATTATTTTATAAAATAGAACAATAAAATCAAGAAAAGAGAAAGAAGTTATGGATTTAGTTAATAAAAGTGAATCATAAAGAAAAGAGACTATATATGAAAAAAGATAATTGTGGAATTTAAATAGAATGAGATTTACATTTAGAGAGAAAGAATCAAATAGATCATTATTGAATAAAAGTTTAGATGATAGAATGAATAAAAATTAAATATAAAAAAAGAATTTTAAGAAATTCCTTGAATAATTGAAAATAAGTTAATTAATTTTAAATTAAAGTATGAAAGAATAATTGGAAAGATTAAGATAAAAATTATTGAATTAATAAATACTATAGCTTAGTGATATAAGAACCTTTGAAAGAACTTCACTTCATAGATTATTAATATAATACTTAAAGTTATGATATATATAAATGTATATCAACCTTAATTTTTAGTAGATTAATGATTAGCTTTATCTTATAAATAATTGTTATGATGTACATCTATAAGTTTTTTTTATAGATCAGATATTTATGATATCTTTTCTGCTAATTAATTATTTTAATTATCTATTTTCTTTTATGAAAATTCAATCTTTTATGCTAAATCTCTTTCAATTATATTTTTTTCAATTTATAATTATTTTACTTCTTATTCTAATTATTATATTCTTTTATCTTTTGCTCTTTAATCTAATTCAAAAGATTATTTTAGATATTATTCTTTCTATTTAACAGTATGATCATATTCTTATTTAATTTTTTATTTCTCTTTATTTTATTTTTCAGCTAAATGACCCATTTTATGTTCTAAAACTTATACAGAAATTAATTGTTATTTTTATGAAGTAATTAATTCAGTCTATCTCTTAATTTCATCTTTAAGAATATTAAGACTACTTTCTCTTTCTGAAAGTAAATCTATTGCAAATGTGAATTCACTTTTCATTTCTTCCATAGCTTTTTATGTATATGTAGTAAGTAATTCAATTTATTTCTCATTATTACTAATTTTGATTTCCAAATTTTATATCAATAATTTCAATTACTAATTTTCTCTTATCATTTTTCTCATATCCATTTCACTTTTATGTAATAACCAAATATAATCTTATTATTCATCATCGTTGCATAATTTATATTATTGAACTTCTACTTCTGTCTAAATGATACCCCTATCATTAATAACAGATATTTAGTATACTTAATATAAGTAGCAAGCATCTCTTTAATTAATTCAATTAATCTATGAGGATCTAATCTAGTATATCCAAATTCATTTGATTTTCTATTCAATTTTTCATTTATATCATTAAAATCCTATATGATACTTTTATATATACATAATATCTATTATTGATCTCCAAAAATAATGTTTGTATTTTTTATACTAATTCATTATATTTCTTTTCCATTTTAATATAATCTTCTCTTTCAACATACTTTTCAGGATCAAAAGACATTTTATAATGTTTAGGAGATTTCTATTATTTCATTATTGATTGTTTTTCTGTTAAATTGACAGATGATAAATTAGGTTTTTTAGTTTTCTTTAAATCAGACATTAATATTATATAAATTGATGATTTGCAGACCAAGACTAATGAAAGAACAAAATGACTTATAAAAGTTGAATGATCCAACAATGATTATTTAAGTCAATGAAACTGATATACTTATTTGGTATGTCTATTTATTCGGACCTGAAGAAACTCCATTTGAGAATGGAATCTTTAAAGTATAAAATCAATTAATGAATATAGATTAAAGTTTCTATTCCACCTAATTATCCTGTTAAAGCACCTACACTTCATTTTCTAACAAGAATATTTCATCCAAATGTACATATGGACACAGGTGAAGTATGTTTAGAAGTGCTTTCATAAAAATGGGAGCCACGTTGGACAATTGAAAGTATCATTAGAGCGGTTAGATTAATGCTCTAAGAACCCAATCCAGATAGTCCATTGAATTGTGATGCAGCTAATTTACTTAGAGCTAACGATATAATTGGATATAAATCAATAGCTTAATATTATACTTCAAAATATGCAATAGATAAACATGAATATATGAATAAAGTGAATGTTAAAGATAAGAAAACTTAATGAAATTATGAATTGTAATCATTTTAATTAACATTAATTATATATAATGAGTATTGTACTTTCAATTTGAGAATCTTAAATGCTTTGTTGTTTTTGTATAATCCATTACAAATTTAAATTTACCATTGAAATAGTAGTTAAATTAATTACATTAGTAATATAAAAAGTTTAAGGCAAATTTGAGGTTGCATTTATAAAGATTAGAAAATAGTTAAGAATTTTTAGAATATTCTGAAGAGTCTAACTAATTCAAGAGATTTTAAACATAAAACTTAGTTGTTGATATCAATATAGTTGAAATTAAAGTGAAGTTAGAAAATAGGTTTAAATTAATGATTGGGAAAAACGTCTAAAGACTTTAAAGTGGATGGATTTAGGATGAGAATTAACTAGAATATAATAAAATATAAATTTTAAAGTGAATTTATGATTAATTAGTTTATGCACTATAAGGTATTATAATTATTCAGTGATTAATGAAGCAATAATTTTGATTCATTATAATATCATACATGAAAGAAGTGAGTGACAAATCTTAAATAGTTGATGGAAAACGTAAACGTGTAATGTCTATGAATGGTGTGATGTCTGTAGTAACAAAAGAACTTTTAAGAGAATAGAAAACTCCAGTTCCTCAGGTTTAAAAAACAATAGTTAAGAAACAAGATAATAATAAGAAAGTGATTGATAAGCAATAATGTAAGAATGATAAAAGAGTTAAAATATCAAAATCAGCATTGAAAGAATTAATATAAAGTCACTTTATTGTAGTTAGTGATAATGAAGAAGCCATGATCTAAAGCAGCAAGTATTAAATAATGTTATTTATCATAGATAATTTAAGAACTCACTGGTTGGAAATAAATAAATAAATAGTTCATCATCAGATTCTCATTCAGATTCTTCATCATCATCATCATCTAGGTACATATCAATTAATATTATATAAAGTTATTGAAGAAGAGATTTTTGATGTTTAAATATATATATATATATAAATATATAGATAAATTATGAATCAAACACTTATGAGATTAACTCTGACTCCTAATAAGATGATTGTACAAATTTAAAGAAACTCTAGATAGATCCTGACTCTTAATTAACTAGAATTTCTAACAAGTTGATTATTGATCGTGGAAATATGAAAATGTGGGAAAGTAAAGAAAAATTCGATTAGAGTTTTTAACCAAGAAAGATTTTTGGTATTTTGGGTATATTTGAAGTAAGCGGAAAGCCTGTCTTATTGTTTATAGAAGATGCTGATATTATTGGAGTATTGGAAGGATGGCCAATATATTAAATTACAAAAGTAGGATATGCAGATAAAGTATTACAAATTCATTATTTTAGAAACATTAAGAACCAGATCATGATATATTTGAAAAAGATTAATTAGAAAAAGTGAAAAATCTATTCATTAATACATTTTATTTTAGTTATGGAATAGATTTAACTAGTTAATCAAATTATTAACATAATAGATTTTGGTGGAACAATAATCTTTGTAAAATGTTTCCACCTGAATGGCAATTAAAAATCATATAAGGTTATGTTGGGATCTTTTAAATAACATTAAGAAATTTAAATCAAATCAAATATTGTTTAATTAGTAGAAGATCTTTTTATAAAGGAGGTTCTATTAGAAATGATACTGGTATAGATACTGATGGTAATGTTGCTAATTACACTGAAACTGAATAAATTGTTTATATGAATAATGAAAAGGCTAAATAGATTTTATGTAGAGGTAGTATTCCTCTATTTTGGTAATACAATATTTTTAATAATTCTATTGTAATTAGTTAGGAAGATCCAAAAAAAGCATTAAATAAACATTTTTAAATTCTATTGTCAAATTTTATAAAAATTCATTTTATAAATTTAGTAGATGATGGTTCATAACTTTCAAATTAATTAGATAGATATCTAACTGAATCTGAATAATTATCTATCTATAAATTCAATTTCAAAAAAGCATTTCTTAATAATAATAAAGATTTAGATAGTATAAATAAATTTCTAGAGAAAATAAATGAATTTGTTGATTTCTCATCCACTTTAGGATTTAGATAGTAAAATATAATAAGAATTAATTGTTATGATTGTTTAGATTAAACTAATATTGTTATGACTAAAATTGCTATGATGGGAGTTTAAAAAATTCTATAATCTTTTAAAGTTGATATCTTAGAGGAATTCAATACTTAAAATTTATATATTGATTTAGATATTCCAAGTATACATAATATACATCCTTTCCTTCTCTATTTTAAATCAAAATGGATGGAAAATGGTGATCAATTAAGATTAATTTATAAGGTAGGATAATAGAATAGTGATTTAAATTAATTTTATAAAAATATGGTAGAAGAGAAATAATTAAAAGAAGTAATTCATAGAGTACTTGGATTTCCTATATCTGAAAGTTAAGCCAATGAAAATATTATGATGTTAGAAAGAACCATGAAAAAAAGAGAAAATGAATATACATAATTATTATAGAAGAGTGTATATGTTGTAACTTGGAATATTAATGCTCATTAACCTAATGATAAATCTTTATATAGTTAACTCTTTTAATTTACAACTCCTCCTCATATTGTTGCCATAGGATTTTAAGAATTAGTTAAACTTAATACTTTAACTGTAGTTGGTAGATAAAATAGAGATGTTATTGAAAATTGGAAATAGATATTATATAATTGTCTAAATACTAAAGCAAAATATGTATTAGCAGCTCAATAAGTTATGGTAGGAACATTCATTTTAGTATTTGTTTAAGATGATGAAAAATTGCACATTTCCAATGTCAAAACTGAAATTGTCAAATATGGATTTGGATAATCATTAGGCAATAAAGGAGGAGTGGTAATAATAATCTATATATACATAGATCATTAAATTAAGATTTTATGATAGTAATATCTGTTTTATTAATGTACATTTACCAGCTGGATAAAAATCTAATGATGATAGAATGGCTGCATTTGATTATATTCATAATAGAGCAGAATTAAATTAATGTGATTGGGTTATAACATTTGGTGATATGAATTTCAGAATCAATCTAACCCAATAATAAGTTGTAGCTAGTATCTAAAATTATTAAAATATTTAAAATTAAGAATAAAAAGAAGTCATTTTAAAACATTTAAAAGGTATTAAATATCTATATATACAAAGAATATGATTAATTACATCTAGAAAAATTAAAATCTTAATATTTAAAGTAATTTTATGAAGCTGATATTTAATTTTTACCAACATATAAATTTGATATAGCAACTGAAATCTATGACACAGTCAAAAAAAGAGTCCCTTCTTTTACAGATAGAATTCTTCTCAAAAAGATTTAAAAAGTTGCTATTCATTCAGTTGAATGGTATGATAGAATTTAAGGTAATTTTCAAGTTTCTGATCACAGACCAGTTGGATGTCTCATATAAACTTAAGTATGTGAAATAGATAAAAAGAAAAAAGAAAATTTATTTAGAGAATTGATTCAATTAGAAGAAGATGAATAATTCGGACGTTAATATTTCCCAAAAATTTAAAATATTAAAAATTTTGAGCCATGTACAAAGTATAGGTAAAGAGCTGTATAATAAAATATTACTCTAAAACCAGACAAAGAATTGTTAATGAAATTATGTGACCCAGAATTTGAATGAAAAATAAATTAATATCAATTATTATATGAAATTAGATATTCTTTTTTTAATTCAATCTTAACTATTATTTTTTAGCTCAATTTTTATAATCATTTTAATTGGTCATTTATAATTTAATTAGTTAATGTAGTTTTTGAATAAATTAAATTTACAATTAAAGAAGAGTTTCTCTATAAGTTTTTTAATTGAAAAATTATTTGTCATTTTCTAATTATATTTAAAAATTATATCACAAAGTATATGAAAATATAAAGGAGAAACCTAAAAAGATATAATTGAACAAACTAAAACTGGATATAATGCTTTGCACTATTATCTAAATACAGAATTATCATTCAAATTTTATCTTTGTAATTTCAAAAATTAAATTTATGAAATATAGATTTTTGTTAATGATTTGAAATTTAATTTATAAATCTTTCAAGAATAGATATAAATGTGTTTAATATTTTATATAGATAAAATATCATTATCAATTAACTAGCAATAAATGCTAAAATTTTGATCAAAGGGCTTAATGCAAGCAATTTAGATTTTTTAATAGAGCAATATAATTTAAATTAAATTTTATTTCTAAAATAATACAAATTAATCTAATTTACTCATTGAATTAATTAGTAAATATTAAAAATAAATAATTACAATAATGATAAATCAACTTGATATATATATATAAGTAATTTTTAATAGATATAGATAACACAAAAATATGATAATGTAATTCTAATTAGTCTCTTATGTATTAAATTAGATATAACAAAAATAGTAATGAAGAATATAATATTCTATTATTTTATATTACATTTAAATTAATCAATCTTTTGGAATAGGTCCATCATAATCAGCAATTAAATACATGATACTAGCAATAGCAACAACATTATCATCCATATCTTCTGGATTCATCATCCACATAGAATCGCCAGCAGTATGATGATAAGTGAAATAGAAATCATGATTTTAATTATCAGCAATTTTATTATTTAACATAGAAGTTCCAGTAGAATCTGCCAAAATTCCACTATCTACAGATTCTCCTTCATTTGGGTATATGCGTTCAGCTCCAATACCAGTTAAATATTCTTAAGCCAAATATGTTACCAATTGACTAAGAATTATAATAATAAATAAAAATTACGTAAATTACTATCCAGCTGTGATTCCAAATCCATATGGTTTTGTTGATCCTAGATCAGATTCAAATACAATAATATGATTTTCTTTGCCATGATTAATAGCATAATGTTGTGCTCCATTATTATCCTAACCCATTTCTTCACCACTCCAAGCAATAAATCTTATAGTTCTTCTTGGTCTAATTCCTAATGAATTTAAGACTCTTAATGCTTCTAAACAGACAATAACACCACCACCATCATCATTAGCTCCTGTTTATGATCCAACATCCCATGAATCCCAATGTCCACCCATTAACAATATCTCATCTGGATATTTCCATCCCTTAATTTCAGCTAAAACATTGTCACTTGTTGTTTTATATTATTAACCTTCTGTCTTGATTTCCACTACAACTTTTTAACCTCTTTATCTCATTCTGTCTATCATATCTGCATCCTCAACAGTAATTGCAACTGCTGGATATTTAATATTTTAATAAGCCGTCATTCCCTTGAAATTTTAACAAAATAAATACTGTATGTGGTGATGCAATTGAAACACTAGCCACACTTCTAATCATTGTACCAATTGCTCCTGCTTTTTCTGCTAATACAGGTCCTGAATATCTGTATGCCACACCAGAATCATATCCATTCCATTCAAAATTGTAACATACAATCTTTCCTGTCACATCCTTCTCTTTCAATTCCTCAAATGAATGAACAACTTCCACTTCTGCCTTTACAGTACCAGCAGGAGTCCATCCTAATCCAATCATATTCAATTTCTAAGGAAATTATCTTGGATCAAATAATGTAACACTTTCTTCTCCTCTCTTCCAAGATGTAATCTCTCCTAGATTCTCTTTCCAAATTTTATCAAATCCCATAGTCTCTATATCTTTATAGAGTGCGTCTACAGCATCTGCCATATTCTCTGATCCCCATAATCTAGGACCAAATGTATCAACATAATATGCTAATCTATCATAAGCAGAATGGTAATGTTAAGCTTATGGATTCTTTACTTATTCTCTTATTGACTTACATAATATCATCCAATTACCTAAATCACTTGCTCTGTAATTTTTTCTTCAACACCTCTAAGCATTAAGGCATTCAGGATGAATGTGAAGACTAATATTAAAATAAATTTCATATATAAAATATATTCTAAAAAGAAATCGACGTTAATTCAATATTTTTATTCAAGGATATATTGATTGAAATATTTTTAATAATTCTTAAGATCCATTTTATAAAGAAATATTGATAATTATACAAATAATGATGTAAAAATCATCTTATACTCAACGATTAATAAAGGAAGGGTAATTTACATATTATGAGAATATTTTCAAATTGGTTTTCTTTTTTGTCTTAAGTAATTTTTCATCTGTTAACTAATTTAGTTGTTATTACCCTCTATAGTTATGATATCATCAAATTTTAGTAATTCCTTTAAGAAAAGAACTTCAGAAGATTTGATTGGAGAAATATTAAATGGCTTTAAGTTGGATTGATTTTGATACATGTATATAACTCTATCTTAATAATAGATTACAAAATAATTAAATAAGAGGTTTGTGACAGATTATGTGGAAAGATAATTAGATTCAAAATATATAGAAATTATCGATAATTTAGAGTACAATAAATAGCTAAATGGATTTATGACACAGTATACTACACATGTGCAACTCTCTTGCCATTCTTTATATTTAAAAATGAAAGATGGTTCCCTAAAGAACTTGGAGGATCTAATTTTAAAGAGACTTTATATGATTTTCCTAATATCCCAGAAGTACAATTATACATTAGTATTTTATTAGAATACTTTTGGTTCCCATATATCATATGATTTAGCATCTAGTCATATTCATGCCTTATTGTTACTAATGTTTTATGGTACAAAGATAGAACTAAAGTATTGGGAATATTTATTGCATCATTCACTTGCTGTTAATTTACTTTATTGGAATTATTGTTTTATTACTCCATGATATTAGTGATATATTCTTGGCCTTAGGAAGAACTTATGGAGATCTTGGTTAAAATAAGATTTTAGTTCATATTGGATTTTCATCAATATAAATATCTTGGTTGTATACAAGAAAATATGTGTTATCAATTAAGATTTATGATTGTATTGGTAAAATTTTGAATGTATTTTAGGGAACAAACAAAAAATTCCTATTATAATTAAATTGGATTGATGGTATTACTGTTTGGTATGCATATTTATTGGAAAATAATTATGATTAAAGTAGGATTGGAAATTTACTCATCGGGTAGTTATAAAAATATTTACGATAATAGAGAAAATAAGTTGGATCATAAGAAAGAGAATTGAAAAATATTTAAACAAATAATCGTCAATCTTTAATGTCGAAATCAAAATATGTATTTTTATATGGTTCGTTTATTAAAGTGAAGTGCCACCATTCATCAATATAATTTGAAAAATTCACCATTACTTATAAAAGAGTGTCTCTATTATTTCTCTATTTAATAGTCAAATCACCACAATAGGTATGGGCTTTTACATCAAAGCAATCAAATCCAGTTCCCATATCAATGGTATTATCTTTAAATCTAATAATTGTTTTATTTAATATTACCTATTATCTTCGAAACATGGAATTAATTAATCACCTGGTTTATATTATTCTTGTTCTTCAGGATAATATGGGACTAAAGTCAAATCAACAGTTGATCCTCTACTATGTCCAGATTTCTTGGCAATATATCCATGATCAAATAGAAGATCCTTTTATTCTCCAGGATAAAATTCTTACTACATAGTAGTGTCATCATTTAGACTCCATTAATAGAAATCATCAACTGCCTTTTAAGGACGATAACAATCCCAAACCTTTATTCTATAACCCATAGCCATAGCAATTCGTTGATTCAATGATAATTATTAAGCAGCTTCAATAGTTAATACACACTCTTCAAGTAAGTAACCTCTTATTGGTCTCCCTACAAAATTATGATATTATGCATATCGCATATCTTGCAAAATTGTATTATCAATATCTCTCAAACGAACAAATCCTTAAGGTATTTGGGAAATGACTACTTGAACAAAAATAAATATAAACATTTTTAATTAAATGAGTAATACAAATCGTGCCTTTCGAATGAAACAAGTTTAGAGTCCAAGATTGTTTTCTGATCAACCACTTAAAACTTTGCCTGATGAAAGAACAACTACAGTTTTTAATCAATCTCGAAAAATGGAATCACAATCTAGTAATGATAATGTTAACTATATTCACTTATCAAAAAGGCTCTTGAGAATAGACTCTATTATATTGAATAATTAGCAGAATCATTGAAGTCCAGCACTTCTATTGAATAGACTAGAATTCTTAGTAGTTTACAAGAGATTGCAAAAACTTTAAAGAGTATTTCCAAAACTGAAATTGAATTAAATTAAAAGAATAAACAACTCGATCATGTGACCATGGAAAGTGTTATGTAAAAATAAACAATACAAAAATTAAAAGACTAATAAGTAAATTAATATGTAAATAAATTTAGAATCATTATAAAATGGATAATGAAGGATATCTAAAACAATTAACTCTCTCTTAATAAGACTAACATAAATTATGTAGAGATTTATTACAATAGAAAAAATTAGTTGAAGAATAATATAAGAAAATCAAATTTTTAGAAAAAAGAATAGAAATGATGTTGGAGAAAAATCTATATGTAATATCAATATAATATTAAAATATTAGTCTCATTCTGAAGAACTTAGAAACACATTATCAGAATTGATCAGAGATAATGAATAACTCAAAAGGGACTTAGTTAAAAAAGAAAAAGAAAATGAAAGACTTAAAGATTTAAATTCTAAATTACTATAATAAAATAATAGATTAACAAAAAAATTAGATTCCTTAAAAACTAAGAAAGTTGGTGTTAAAGATATTATAACTGAAAATTAATAGATATCAAATTATGCTTTCAATCCAAATTCATTACCAAGTAATCTAGAATTTAGATTGAATGATCTTGATAATGATGATTGTGATTTCTTATTAGATTTAATAGAACATGGACCAGAAGTTTTTACAAACTAAGTAGTAACACTTGATTCTATTTAACAAAAAAAGGATCTCATTAATTTAGTTGCATGTATGTATCTCTTTTATTTAATTAAATAGCTTAATTTATAAGTGCAAGAGATTTCTCTGAAAAAATAAATTAAATTATGAATGAATTTATTACAATGATCAGTTATAAGAGTATACAAGATTTTCAAATTCATGTAAGCAAAGCATTTCGACCTATTTTTGGAACTGAAATTGTTCATTTATGGATTATAGATGGAATGACATGTAGAGCTTAAACTTATGATTGTAATGGAGTTTAACATGTTGCCTTACTAACTGATGGAATTTTTAGTTAATTAGTATTTGAAGATTATGGTATAAGAAGCCCTTCAAAAAAATAAGAATTGCTTTATATAACAGAAAACAATGAAGTTTTTGGAAAAAATTTTCTCTTACTACCTATAATGGGAAATAGCTCAAAACCATGTGGAATATTGGAAGTATATTACAATAATATTTTTAGATTCAAAATATTTAAGAGAATTTATTTTTAGATTCACAATATTATGGGTTATTAATAAATATGTTAAGTAAGTCAGTAGTTTAGAGTATTTTGGATTTTGAAGCTTTAATTAAAGAGTTAAATTACAGAGATTTATTTTATAGATGTTTCAATAGATTGATATAATGTAAAGATAAAGAACACTTTTGTTCAGCATTATAAGAATCTGCAATGTAAATATTTCAAATAGCATAAACTAAACTTTTATTTATAGAGAATAATTAATTTTGGATATCAGGTAGAAGTTATCATTTACAGGCTGGTTGTGCTTATTAAATTTATTTAAAAGGAAAGCCTCAAATCTTTACTTAAATTACAAGATAAGATCATTTTGATGAAAATACAGATATATCATCAATATTACCTGTTTTTATAGCACCTATTTACTTAAATGAAAAAGTTACAGCGATCTTACAATTTATACTAAAAAAGAAATAAATGATTGACAAACATCCATTTGGAAATTAAGCTAATATTGGGTTTAGATTAGATACAATTGATTAAGATGCTTAAAAATTTTATGAAATAGTATAGAATGCCTTTTAGATTGTATTTAGATGAATTTATATACATATATATAAAATTTTGATATACATAATAATAACTTTAATCTAGATTTTATTCTTTCTTAATATATTACTGCATAATTATATTTAATCATATTAAGTTAATAATAGTTTAGTATAAAAGTTATGTATAAATATTATTTTATATAAGTTAAGCAAGAATTAAATAAGAATATTTACAATAATTTGAAGGTTATATTATTTAGACTAAGTTGAAAGGATATCAAAGAATTTAATTACTTTCATTAAAGAGAGGAGTTAAATTTGATTAAATTTATAATAATTACATTATATAATGGACGTTCCAATAAATAACTTCAAGGGAGTGATGCTATGCAATAGACCTAATGAAAATGTGATGATTATCAAAGAAAAGTATTACTATAAAATAACCAATCAGACCTTTCTGTTCTAGAGTTTAACCTTATGATTAATGGGGGTTAACAAAAAAATATGAAGAAACAAAAGTGTTACCAGCTCCCATGAATCCGGTTTTAGAAAGACATAAGAAATGGTTGGAAGAATTCAAATTACAAAATTAACTTAAAAAACATGCGAAAGAGGAATAATAAGTTCGTGAAGATGAAAAATTTGAAAGAGTTAGAGAATTAGCCAAGAAAGATAGAGAGATTACAAAGAAAATGAAGGAAGAATACAAATAAATAAATGATATCATCAAGAAAGAGTTACAAGATGATGGTCCTAAAAGCAAAACGTGAGGCTGTTATCTTAATTTCAAGAGTGTAATTGACTGCCGAAAACCTAAAGAAATTAGAAGAGAGAGATACCATCAAACAATAAGAAGTCAAAACTGATAATAAATTGGATATAAAGTAAGGAGATCATAAGAAGAGATACAAAACCAAACCAGTCTGGGCTATGACAAAAGAAGTTATTAAATTCATAATATTAAAAGGAAGAGGAAGAACATATTAAATAAGAGGAAGATGAGTTACTAAATTTTGTTGAGAATCTAGATTATGATTCTTATATTAATGATTTAGAAGTATAATATTGATTTGAATAAAAAAGGTAAATGTGATGTTAAAAGCATTATAATAAAGAGTCTCTGATATAAAGAAAGAAGGAAATTGGAAGGAGAAATTAGAATAAGGGGAAAAGAAATAAGAATAAAGAGAACTAGATATTTATGATAAAATTAGTCAATCTTTAGGAAAAAATGATGAGGCTAGATCTGTACATTCTGAAAAAACTTAAAGTAAAAATTCAATTGATTAGATTCAATAAATTAATTACGAAAAAGATAAGAATTAATTGAATAAGGTAAATAAGATTGGGAGAAGACAACTACAAATGGAGAACAAAAGGCATCATTAGAGGATCGAATTGCAAAACATGTTGCTGATGAGATACTTAATCAATATAAAGTAAAATATATTTATTATTAATAGAATATATCTAATGTACATTCTAATTCATCTATTCGAAAAATATTGGAAAGAGAAGCTAAGAAAACTTTACAAGAGTAATCAATACCAGGACCTGTTATTTCAGTTATTAAAAATGAAAAAATGCCTCGAGATCCTAATACTTTGCCATATTTGCATCGTAATCCAGCTATTTGATAAATTTGATTTAATTATAATAAATTAATGGAGTTTTTTGAATAATTCAATAAAAAGGAAATTACAGAAGAATAATTTGTAGAATAGTTATAAACTTTAACTACAAAAATATAAAAGAAAAGCACATTAACTTCTGAATAAATTCTTTAAGTAAATTAATAAATAGATAAAATTGATGATTTATGTTTCAATTCTAATGTTGAATTATTCATTAAATTTGCACTTTATATATCAAATAGAGGAGTTTATTAACTATTATATTAATTAAGTTGGGATAAGATTCTATTTTAAAAGGATAATACAGATGCAAATTTATTAGGTTTATATATCATTAAACGTGTATATCATTCTGAAAATCATAAAGTTCTTATTCTCTTTTTAAATGAGTAAAAATTAATATTGATATATTTATTAGTATATTAAGATAACAAAAAACAGTTGAAAAGAAATTTGTTCTTTTAGAAATATTTGTATAAATACTTCCAAAAATAGAGAAAAGGGAAATTCATTTAGCAGTTATATTTCCTGTTATATTAATTGTTATAAATGAAGGATTATAAAAATATTTGAAATATAAATAATAACAAATTCAAAATGATTTGAATGAAGATAATAAGTTCACTAAATTGTATATGAACAATTTTCAAAATTGGACTGTTTAATTTTTCAAAAGAATATTTGATTCAATAAAGAAATTTTCTGAAATTAAAACTTAATCTATAGCTATACGTGAATTATATAGTATTGATACCAAATATGATTATTTTGATAATTAATTAAGTAGAAAACCTGAAGATCCTAAATTAATTGTGAAACATTATATTTTATTATTCTTATCAGATCTACTTTAAGGTATTTTAGAGATTGAATAATCAATGAAAGATTCTTAATTAGATCCAGATGTTATTTAAACTTTATTAACATAAACAAATTAAATGATTTATGATATTCATGATAATAAATTAGAGATAATAGAAAATTATATAAATTGGATAAGATTTAGCATTTAATTTGATCAAGAATTACCATAATAATATTAACATTATTCAAATGAATAAACATATACTCCTGCATTTATTTGTTATTTAACAAAAGAATTATTAACATCTAGTAGTTTGGAATCAATATTAACAGTTGATTATAAATTGAAAATCTTAATTGGAGTTTTATATGAATAAAAAAAATTAACAGTTTTGAAATGTGATATTTAGAGCAAATTAATTGAATTAATAGTGAAGTATTTAAATTTACGAGATGTTTCAATAAAATTGAAAACAGCTAATCATTTTACTACTCCATTTGATATAATAATAATGTTAATAATGGAAAAAGCAGGATCTGGATTAGTTGATGAATAACCTTATATTTCAGCATGGAAATAAGCATAATCTTCATTTATTCCTGAAGTTTGGACAAGAATACTAGAATAATGTATAAATAAATCTCAAAATTATGTTTTATTATCACATTTAGTAAATAATATAAAGAGTTCTTATTCACAATTAGACAATAAAATTTTAATAAAAAATTATGATATATTGATATAAGCAATATTTAAGAAAGAGACAGGAAATATTGATGCTAAAGTTTTATTATATGATTCAGCAACACTATTAATTTAATAATTGGTAAAGATTTTTATAATTTAAATAGAATTTGAAAAAAGTAGATCTACATAATATATTTGAATAAAAATGGAAACCTTTATTAAAACAATATTAAAAAGATTTACAATAATCTATTGATTATTTGGAAACAAAAAAGAAAGAAGGTGATGAGTAAAAATTAAAGGATGATTAAGTATTTTAGGCAATTTTAGGATAAGAGAGAAATCTAAAAATTGCTTATTATAATTTGAATAAGGTATTGGAGTGATAAAGGTTGAATATATATTAATCATTAATTCAAATAATTTCTATTAGAAATTTAGACTCCATGTAAATGAAAATCTTTTGTTATGATAGCCAATTCAATATGAATATTTCCAGTTGATTCAACTTTAAAACCAAATCTACTTTCTCCTGAAAATAATAGATCTCTATGAACTAATTCAGGATAAGCTCCAATAAGTTTATCAAAGAAACTAGCTTCTGGTCTCCAACATGCTAAAAATATATAAATTAATTACGAATATCAAATTAATATTCTCCAGGTTCTATAGGAAGAGAAGTGAGACCATAACCTCCAAGTGAATTTCTTCCATGATCATCAACTTCCCAGACTTCCACTAGTAATTTTGGCCATCCTCTAACAGATTTAGTCACATAATTAAGATCAATAGGATGTTCAAGTGGTACAAATTTTGAATGTTAAGATGAAGATTAAAATGTTTCCCCTTCTTCTTATCCTGAAATCTTTTTCCAATGATCTCCTACTCTGAAGAAATATTTGACATAAATAGAAGAATTATTAAAATTTGTGGCCCCAGCTATTTTGCCAACAATGAAAACTTATGGACTATCTGCAGACATTAAAATAAATTGTATAAAATATATTAATGAAATATATATATGAGATAAGGTATTCAAACTGACAATTCTCATTCTTATTCTTTATTGCCTTCATATTCATAATTTGGTATTTAATCATCAATATGTTGAGCCAATGAAACACTCAATGGCATATCACCATATTAAAGTACTCTATCTGTAATATTGAAATTTTCTTAATCTTCAAGAACTGATTCTGTTCTATTTATAACTGCAATAGGATTGTTCTTTCTATTATTTATTTCTTATTTCTTAAAGTAAACTGCAATCAACATAAATAATAATCCAGCAAATGAATAATACATCAATGCAAAAACAGCTACTTTTGCACTATATCTTTCCATAAGAAATCCATAAATAGAAGGTGCTGGTAAAAATCCAAATAAATTTTAAAACATTGTAGTATTTGAATTTGCAAATGCTTTTAAATGTTTAGGAACTGATGAAAGCATAATCCCAATTAATGGTGGAACTATTGCTCCACCAAAAAACAATAAAAACCAAACACATAATGCACCAAACCAAAATACATCTGTAAATGGAACTGGAACAGCACTCAAACAACAAATAAAACAGTATATTACACATATATAAAGTGATTTAGTTCTTTCATAACCTCCTAATTTTTAAGCTATTAATCCACCTGTAATACAACCAAAAACAGGGGCTGTAATTGAAACTACTGCAAAAACTATATTAACTGTTTTCTAATTTTGATGCATCTCTGTTATCATATAATCAGTCATCCAAAATTATATACCTGTAACTATAAAATATAATATGCTGATCACTATTGTACAGCATAACCATAATTTTATAGAATATAATTCTCCCATCATATGCCAATATGTTTTATGAGACCCTACACTTAACATTGAAGATCCTAAATCATCAGGATTTACTGACTTTTTATCTAATTTACTCCTTCTAGCTCTCTTTATTTCGAAATCTTTCGTTCTTACAAAAAAAATAAAACTAATTGCACATGGAATCAACAATGCAACTTAAGCATAAAATGCTAATTGCCAATTCCATATACTTGAAATCACACTTGATAATACGTATCCAACAAATATACCCAAAGGAATCACTCCTTATAATATTGTTAACCATATTGTCTTTGATTCTCCTCCAAAATTGTCTACCCATACTGGAAAATAAATCATCATAGGTGCCTAATCAATATATCACTAATCCTTACTTATGCACAACCAGTTAAAAATCTACTTAAATAAAACAACCAACTGCTTTTATAATGTTGAGGAAACATTAACAAAGAACCCAACATTCCAAAATAACTAATTGAAACTATTAACTTTGCATTAAAATGTAGAAATAATTTTCCACCAAATAATCCTACCAATGAAATACCTGCATAAACTAGTGACCCTAAGTATCCCAATTCCTCAGCACTTAAATCTAACGATGTCTCAATCTATTTAGTTGCTAATTAAATTATATCATCTATATACCTGCAGGAATGATTCCATGATCTAAATTTATAAGGACATTAGTGCTAAGAATTAGAGAATATATCCATTTATACTTAATTTCCATTATTTATTTAACAATTATTCAATTAAACATCATGAATTGCATAAATTTCATTCTATACAATTTTATTCTTTCATTCAATAAAATCTTTAATACTATAGAATTCTTTAAAAAAAATTAATAACTAAAATTCAAATCATTTTATATGATTTTCTTTATTAAATTAAATAATATTATTAATAAAATAAATTCTTAAATATCATAAATCCTTAAAAAACCTAATTTATTCTTAAACTAAATGCTTATAATAATTATACAAGAATAATTTTGTATATTTTTAGAACCCATTAAAATTAAATTAGTTTGATGTATATATCTATATCACTTAAGAATAAATTCGATTTATTTTTATTTACAAAAGTCTATATTTATTAATAAATTAAATGTATATTAATTGCCAATATCTTTCTATTATCATAACACTTAGTATTCCTAATAAGTATTTATTTATAATTCATATTCATTCTTTTATTCAATTAATATTATTAATATATCCCTTATGTAATCTTATTTTATTAAAACTCATTAGATCTATATATATGCTCTAATAAATGTTAATTTTCTTTAAATTTAAAATAAAAATACTTTCATATTGAAATATTTAAAGAATCCAGAAAATTATAATAGAAAATTTAGTATTAATATTTATATTAAATGGGAGATAAAAAGAAAAAGGGAGATCAAGTAGAAGATTTCTCAACAGAATAATTAAATAAACTATATCGGAAACGATGTGAAATTAATGGAGTTCCTCTTTGCAAAATATTTAAGGAAAGATTAGAAGCTGTATGTTCAGAAGGAGAACATTTATAAAATGTAAAACTGTGGGAAGAAATGGGACCTGTTGGTGTTAGAGCAATGATGGAATCATTTACTGAAATTGGATATAAACATTTAAAATAATTAAGATTATGGAGAGTTAAATGTTAAGATGAAGGAGTCAGAACAATATGCTTATATATAGATAAAGTACGATTGCTTGAAGTATTAGATCTTTTGGATAATTAAATTGGTGTTTTAGGTAATAAGCATTTATATAGTAGGATGTAAATTCTTATCAGATATTCTCCATCCAAAATGTGAAAGTAAATTAGTAAAACTGAAATTGGATCACAATTAAATAGGTTCAGAAGGTTTGGCTGAGTTGACTAAAGGATTAGCTATGAATAACACTTTAGAAAGTTTGGCATTGAATTATTGTGGCATAGAAGCTGATGGGGCAAGATATCTATAGGATATATTAGCTAATGTTAATAGCAAATTGTATAAATTAAAATTAAGTGGAAATCGTTTAAAAAATGAAGGAGCATATGAATTATTTAGAGCATTAGAAATTAATAATACCCTAGAAAGAATTAAGTTAGCAGATAATCAATTTCATTCTGATCCAAGTGATTAAACCTTAATAAATAAAATACTTTCTACTTTCGAATTAAATAAAACACTTGGATATTATGATCTTAAATTTAATTTACTTAGTGATTAAGGTATATATACATATATATAAATTACATTTAGATGCCACCAAAATAATTCCATTAATCGAAAAAAATAAATCCATTTTCTTTATTGAAATTTCAGATTAAATATCCAAACCACTTACTGATAAATTAAAATCATTAACAAAGAAGAGAAAACCAAAGAAGAAGAAGAAAAGTAAAAAGAAGAAGTGAATAAAATATCAAAAAATTAATAAAGATCATGTTATTTTTTTGTATCTAATAAAATATATCTCTTCTAAAGTTTCATACTACAAACGAGGTGGTGAAATCTACTTTATATAATTTAGATACCCTTTTTAATTGTATTTTTAACATCTAGTTTTTTCTTTGTATATTTCTCATATGTTAAGGTTTCTATTAATATCTATCTGATGATATTTGATTTGAATTAATGAAAGAAAAGTACCTTTTATTGTTAACTTCAGAAGGGCTTGTAATCTCTTTATTTAAACTTAATGATCTGTAATTATAAATTCGAGGTAGAGATATATGTTCATCATTTTTTACAGCTATTTTTTTTTTATAATAATTCATGAATAGTATGAATAGACAAAAAATATCATATAAACACAGCTTATTTTTTCATTGGTGCTTCTGACTAAGATTATTATTATTATTATTATTATTATTATTATTATTGTTATTATTGCTGTTTTGGTTATTTCTATTTCTCTGCTTTTTCTATGTCAATATTCATACAACAGTCTTTATATGTTTTATTTGATCCACAATTGCATTTCTTATTTTTTTTTTATTTTAATTAATAATTTTGAATTTCTGCTTTTCTTAAAGCCTCTTTTGCAGCCTTTTCAGCTTCTTCTTATTCTTTTAAGGCCTAAAAATATTCTCTTTCTTCAGGATCTTCAAATTACTCTAAATCATCATATTATTCATAGTTATCTTCATTTCCTAAAGGAGCTTATTAAAATGTATCCAATAATCCTTCAAAAATATCTAATGGAATTGGTTCTGCTCTTTTATTACTATCATCTCCTAACATTCTTACAGAACTATAATGTTCAGCAACATTTTCTATTAAATGATAAGCTAGATGAAGTGAATCTTTCTAATATTGTTATAATCAAGACTTTACTTCATTTAAAGGTCTTTCATCAGTCATTGATTTGATAATCATACATGGTCTCCCTTTCATGTGAATAAAAAAATTCACATCCAAAGCTTATGACAAAGCTTATAATTCCAAATTACCACCCCATTCACCATCAGATGACATCTCTTTTAAATATTAATCAAATGTCATATCATCTTCAATAAAAAGTGCAAAGAATTCTTAATTCTCTTACATTGTTTAAACAGCTAATCTTCTTAATTATTTATGATATTTTTCATCTCCATGTAATACATCTGCTATTGATCTAAAAAGACAATTTCCATCTCCTTCAACATCTCTAATTTAAAGTCCTAATTAATTCATTTCATCTTAAAACTCTTAAAAATGTTTAGCATATCCTATAATGATAATGTTATATTTATTATACCTTTAAGTGAACGAGCTTATCCTCTTTATCTTTTTAATTACTTTTTTGTTTATCTTTATTATTATTTATCCTTCATCATTTACTAATGTTTTTCATATTTTTACTTGTTTTTCTTTTTTTACATAATTCTTTATTAATTAATTTAATGAGTAATATTTATAAAGGGACTTTGCTTTTTTATAGAAGGATGCTTAAAACTATGATGAAAACTTTTAATGGNCCTTTTATTGTTAACTTCAGAAGGGCTTGTAATCTCTTTATTTAAACTTAATGATCTGTAATTATAAATTCGAGGTAGAGATATATGTTCATCATTTTTTACAGCTATTTTTTTTTTATAATAATTCATGAATAGTATGAATAGACAAAAAATATCATATAAACACAGCTTATTTTTTCATTGGTGCTTCTGACTAAGATTATTATTATTATTATTATTATTATTATTATTATTGTTATTATTGCTGTTTTGGTTATTTCTATTTCTCTGCTTTTTCTATGTCAATATTCATACAACAGTCTTTATATGTTTTATTTGATCCACAATTGCATTTCTTATTTTTTTTTTATTTTAATTAATAATTTTGAATTTCTGCTTTTCTTAAAGCCTCTTTTGCAGCCTTTTCAGCTTCTTCTTATTCTTTTAAGGCCTAAAAATATTCTCTTTCTTCAGGATCTTCAAATTACTCTAAATCATCATATTATTCATAGTTATCTTCATTTCCTAAAGGAGCTTATTAAAATGTATCCAATAATCCTTCAAAAATATCTAATGGAATTGGTTCTGCTCTTTTATTACTATCATCTCCTAACATTCTTACAGAACTATAATGTTCAGCAACATTTTCTATTAAATGATAAGCTAGATGAAGTGAATCTTTCTAATATTGTTATAATCAAGACTTTACTTCATTTAAAGGTCTTTCATCAGTCATTGATTTGATAATCATACATGGTCTCCCTTTCATGTGAATAAAAAAATTCACATCCAAAGCTTAAGACAAAGCTTATAATTCCAAATTACCACCCCATTCACCATCAGATGACATCTCTTTTAAATATTAATCAAATGTCATATCATCTTCAATAAAAAGTGCAAAGAATTCTTAATTCTCTTACATTGTTTAAACAGCTAATCTTCTTAATTATTTATGATATTTTTCATCTCCATGTAATACATCTGCTATTGATCTAAAAAGACAATTTCCATCTCCTTCAACATCTCTAATTTAAAGTCCTAATTAATTCATTTCATCTTAAAACTCTTAAAAATGTTTAGCATATCCTATAATGATAATGTTATATTTATTATACCTTTAAGTGAACGAGCTTATCCTCTTTATCTTTTTAATTACTTTTTTGTTTATCTTTATTATTATTTATCCTTCATCATTTACTAATGTTTTTCATATTTTTACTTGTTTTTCTTTTTTTACATAATTCTTTATTAATTAATTTAATGAGTAATATTTATAAAGGGACTTTGCTTTTTTATAGAAGGATGCTTAAAACTATGATGAAAACTTTTAATGGAGATCCAGAAATGTTTCATAGAGTAAGAATTGAATGTCGAAATAAAATAAAAGAAAATGCAAATGAGACTGATTAAATCAAAATATAAAATCATATATTTTTTGGAGAAGAAGCTCGAGAATTCTTAGAAAATCATTTGATATCAGGAAAATTAATGCCTAATGGAAGATATCGTTTTAAAGCATAACCTTAACATAGTATGAATGATCCAATAAAATAATGAGTATTAATTTATTTGATTAACACAATTAAGAACTTATATAACTAGAATTACTTTTCAAATATATATATATATTATAAATTTAACTCCATTTAAATTAATAGAATTGTTGTTTTATTTACTTAAATTATTAAACAATCTCAAATAATAGTCAATGAATAAAGGATTCCAAAAATAAATGAATATTATAATTTATATAAATGCAACAGTTAAGGAGTACTCATTTTCAATTAGGATAGACAGATTAAAGTAAATGATTTTAGAATTCCCTTAGAGAATCAATTTACATCAATTATGAAAATGAATTTTTAAGGAGATTAAGCAAATAATCAAATAAATGGAGTTGGTGATAAATTAAATTTGAAAGAAGTTCATTTTAATTTGGGAGAATCTTAACGTAATTATAATGTAAAATAAGATTATAGCATCATATAATACTATTTTTAAAACTGATTTTTAGGGAAAGTAAACTGGAGAACCTGCTACATTAAATTAAGAATAGAAAAATGATTTAAGAACTAACCATTTTGTACTTGGTCATTAAGAAGTTCGTAAAGTCACTGTCAATAGAGCAACTTATAATCAAAAACCATTATAGCCAGGTTTATAAAATGAATAAGAAAGTACATTTATTTTAATATTATGAGTTCAAAAGAATAAGATGATATCTCATCATCACAATTTTGCAGAAACCTCTCATAAAATGATGTAAACAAATTACTTTGAATAATATTAACCTCAATAATTAGAACAAAAATAAGATTTAGTTGAAAAAGCAAGATAATTAAGAGTTTCAAATATATTTCTTGGAAAAGAAGTATTAATTCTATTTAAACATATTAGAAACTTCCTATGATTACTGCCTAACAAGAATATTACAATAAAAAAGAAGGAGGACCTTCTGCTTCTTTTAAACCAGGATTTTAATCAACACATTTTAATTTAGGAACAGCTAATACTGATTATCAAACAATAAATTAAGAATATTTTTAAAGATAAGAAATATAATCAAATCCTATTTCTGAAGAGAATAGATATAATTTGAGAGGTAACACAAAATAAATTTCATATTAGCAACTCATTTCATTTTGGGTAAAGATAATCAACCTTATTCATCAGAAACTATGTCTCATTATAGACCTTATTCAGAAAATAAAGTCAACTTTGAAAATAATACATCAGCACTTCAAGGAAGTCATTTTACAATAGGAGATCCAAGATTTATGAATCAGAAAACTTAAACTTATTACACAAGTACAATGAAACCTCCTCAAAAATTGTCAAATTCTTAACCTCGTGATTCATAGATGGACAGAGGATCTAATTTCAAAGTTGGTACTGAGAATATACTATATGAATCTGAGACGCAATCTAAGTATTTTAATTTATTTTCATGATATGTTTAAGTTTCAAAAATCCTTCTGGAAAGGCTGCTCAATTATCTGAAAAGGTTTTGAAGGACTTAAGATCATCTCATTTTGGATTTAATGATAATAGTGGTAGGAATACGTTTATGACAACAAAATAAATGGAATCTTTTCATTATTAATAAGGATATCCTAATTAATTAGATTCTCATACTAGTAATAATCTAAAGTATTTATTTGGTTGAGATAGATCACATCATTTTACTTTAGGACAAAATAATGGAGATTTAATATCATAAACACATGATATACATAGACCTTTAGATGGAAAACCTCATGTATTAAATTAATAATAAGCTAATAATTTAAGAAAAAATCATTTTGAATTATCATGATATAATATATTTAAATAGAACTACATTCATCTGTTTTCAGGTTTAGGTGTAAGTTGTTACAAGGTTTAATCAAAATGTTATCTTAATTTTTCAAGAGCATCATTTGTTTACAAAGCAAATTTCTCTTGAAATTTTTTCTATTCCCTTAAAATTCTATCCTCTTATTTCTATAATTTTGCTCTCTTTAATTGATCTTGTGAATCTTATGCTAATTTCTTTTAATTAAATAGTTCCTACTCTAACAAAATAATTCTTTTTTAATGTACTTCTAAATCTGCTAATAATTCAGTTATTGTTTATTTCTATATTCATAATATAAATTACATTATGTAAGTTTTCTTTTTTCAATCTTCGAACTTATTCATCTGTTTCATTAAAATCATTTCTATATTTTATAGCTTTCTTTTTATAATCTACAATATCATCATCATCTGAACTATATTAATAATCTATAAGAGCTTTAGCATGTTTCTCTAAATGCATTACAATTATTCGTTAATTAAACAATAAAATATAAATATGTTTTAATGTATATATATGTATATAACCCCATCAAAGATCTAAATCTTATTTCTTGTTCTTTTTTGATTTTTAGTTTCTCTTTTCAATTTCTTGTTTGACTCTCTCTAAATCCTATAATATTTCTATGATTATACTTTATCAACTTAATGAATGCCAATTTAATTTTTTTTTGCCTTTTCTGCTAAAACCTTTTTTATGTCAACCTTTTCATTGTTATTTTTTTATTCAGTTTATTATTAGACTAATGATTATAAATATTAAGTTTATTCTGATTATTTTTCTGTAGGTATTAAATCTTTACTTTTATTTTTCTTTTTCTTTTTTTTATCTTACACTCCTTCTATTTTTACATCTTATTTTTAAGTAAAACCTAATTCATTTAAAATTGCATCCAAATCTTCTGTCTCTTTCTTTTTTTATTCTTACTTTTTTGATTATTACTATTTATCATTCTATTACTGTTTTTATTTCAATACTTTGTATTAACAACAATAAAATACTTTCATATTATTCTACTTATTCTTGTTTTTACTCAGATTATTATTCTAATGTTTATTAGGTTGTAGTTTCCTCTTATATTATTTATTATTCTTATTATTCATTTTCATCATCACTATTATACATAAGACCTTAAAAATTGTTTTTCTAAGAATATCAATGCATTATTACACTTGGTTTAATTCTTCTTGCCTCTAATGCTGCTTATTACTCTTTTTATATTTATTCTGCTTATTTCTTTTATAATTCTTTTAACTTAACCCATTCTGGTTTATTATTTTTATGATACGGCTTTTTTGTTTATTTCTTGAACTCCTTATTTTATTCCAATGATTGAACATTTGGTTTAGTTTCTTATTCTGGAGTTTTCTCAACAATATGTTAAACTTAATCTTCATTATCTGAGAAATCTGCCCAATTAATATTTGTTACTGTAGTATTCTCTGTCATATTAAGATATCAATTTTTTAATATTTATGATGCTTAAACAAATTTCAATTTTTAATTATTTTATCAAAAAATAACCAACTCATCTTAAGTTTCGATATACTTACTCCATAAATTTTCATTATTGAGGGATTCATTAAAAGATTGATCAATTATGATATCAATTGAATTCCTCAATATTTATAATGATTTCTTTTTATTCAATTTCAATTCTAACTATTTTGTAAAGAGATATCTTCTTTTTTTTAGTATATCAACTTATCTTATTTTATAAATTGATTTACTTATCCTTATTGGAATTATTATTAATATTATAATACATGAACTAAACATAAAGCATATCTCAAAATATTTAATTTAACTATTCAACTATTTTAATAAAGTACTCTTATATATTTAATTTTACTTTATTGTGAAATTCTCTATATCAATCTTGACAATCTATAAAGTCTATTCCTATTTTTATAGACAGATAACTTGGAAACAGTATCAAGCACTGTTAGTATAAGGGTATTATGCAAGGTTGCCATCCTTGTGACACGAGTTCGAGTCTCGTACAGCGCAATTTTTTTATTAATTTTTTATATAAATTAACTTTTATTATTTGGATATTTTTTATCACTTTTTTTCCATCATCTCATTAAATATTATATTTTATATATAGTTTTAACTTCTAAGTGTTATCATTAAGTATACCCTTAAAATTTAGAATTATTGTGAATTAGTATTTTGAGAAATGAAATTTAAATGATATATCTATCAATTAATAGTAATGATGCTATATTTAAAAAAAAAGAATTCATTAACAGATTTATTAAGGAAATTTATACAAAAGAGGTCTAAATTTGAATGGAGAAAAAAATACAAATGAATTATTATGAATGACATTAATTAATCTGCTAAATAGCTTTTAAGTAAGTGAACTTAAATTTTGATACATAATCCAAAATAATATGATGATCAGAATCGATTTAATTTCAAAACATCAGGTCATTATTTATAATAAGCATTACCATATTAAATATTATTTATAATTAATAATGTTAATATATATGAAAAATTAATTAATTATTATAATTTTTATAATAATTATTATATATATTATAAAAAGATATTATGCAATAAATATATTACGTATTATAATAATTATTCATATCCTATCGAAAATATCTTCAAATTATTATAATAAAATATTTAAATTCATGTACGTAAAACCAATATCTTCTCTCTCTCATGTAGGCAGATATTATGTGCACATCATAAAGGACTTAAATGTCATTAAACAGATTCCTGCTGGATCCACTGTGCTTGTCGGTGGATTTGGATTATGCGGTATACCTGAATGCAGCATCAATGCTTTGAAAGAGGCTGGAACTAAAAATTTGACTGTAGTAAGTAACAATTGTGGAACAACTGATTTGGGATTAGGATTACTTTTGAATAATGGATAATTGAAGAGAGTGATCGCATCATATGCAGGAGAGAATCATAATCTAGCCAAGTAATATTTAATAAGTTAACAAATAGATAATACTTTGATGGCACATTAGAATTGGAATTAGTTCCATAAGGCACTTTGGCTGAAAAGTTGAGAGCTGCAGGTGCTGGTATCCCTGCTTTTTACACACATACTGGTACAGATACAGTTGTTGAAAAGGGAGGAATTCCTATCAAATACCGCAAAGGTGGTGATAGTGTAGAAATAGAATCTAAACCAAAACCTGTAAATATGATTTTCTCAATATTAGGTTGAATACTTTAATGGAAAGAAATACATCAGAGAAGACTCTATCTGGGGAGACTATGCCATTATTAAAGCTAACATGGCTGATACCAATGGTAATCTCAAGTTCGTAGGGACTGCTAGAAACTTCAATCAAGATATGGTGAAGGCAGCTAAGGTAGTCATTGCTGAAGTTGACACTATTGTACCTGTAGGCAGTTTTGGTTTCGATGAAGCTCATGTTAATGGAATTTATGTGGATTATCTCTATCAAGGAAATAATTACTTAAAGACTGTTGAAAGACTTGTTTATGATTAAAGTGTATATGACAAACATAAGGGTATGATATTCATAATATTATGTAGATATCAAACCATAAGGAAAATTGAATCAAACCAGAAATAGAATTGCTAAAAGAGCAGCTTAAGAATTTAAAGATGGAATGTATGTCAATTTGGGCATTGGAATTCCTACTCTCATTCCAGCTTTCCTTGATAAAAGCATGACTATTCATTTTCATACAGAAATTGGAGCTATTGGAGTTGGTCCCTATCCTAAATTAGGATAAGAATTAGGAGATCTTTAAAATGCAGGAAAAGAATCATGTACTCTTAATCCTGGAGCTACTACATTTGAAAGTAGTGAATCCTTTGGTATCATCAGAGGAGGACACTTGGATATGACTGTTTTGGGAGCTATGCAAATTACTAAATAAGGTGATATTGCTAATTGGGTTATTCCTGGAAAAATGGTTAAAGGAATGGGAGGAGCTATGGATTTAGTTGCATCAGGATCAAAAGTACTTGTTGTGATGGAACACACTGCCAAAGGAGAAGTCAAATTTGTTAAAGACTTACAATACCCAGCCACAGGAATGAATAAAGTTAGCTAAGTCATTACAGACAAGGCTGTCTTTGTTAAAAGAGATGGATAATTAGTATTAACTGAAATAGCAAGTGATACTACACTCGAGTGGGTCAGAGCTAATACTGGATTTGAATTAACAGTTGCAGATGACTTAAAATCCTTCAAAGTTTGATTTAATATTAAAATAATATATTAATAATCTCAAATTATTTCTTCAATAAAAGTGAATATAATATATAGTTTATCATTCATATAAAAATCTTAAATATTATAAAAAGTCTGTTTGAATTAATATTTATTTAATGTGAATTCCATAATCTTTATGTCCTTTAATTAAATTGCTCATATTATAATTCTCAATTCTTCTATATCCTAATTCAACTTCATTCAATCCTAATTATAATTAACAAAATTTACCACAAAGTTAATCAATCCATCTAAATGAATTATATATCAATTTAAGTATCATATCATTTTTGCTATACACATTGTAAATCCTACCTTCAACACAATTCCATCTTCGTTTTTTAAGTTTCCTTATATCCACTATTCCTCCTAATATCAGTATTTCATTAATAGTTTATGTTGTAGTTCTATTGTCTAGTTCTTTCATCATTTCATACATTACTGTTGATCCTACAGAATGAGCAATAATATTTATCTGACGATCCCCAAAGATCTTTTTTTCAATTAATAAATGTGCTAAGTATTTTCCAACTAATTTAGCTTCTTAATATGATTATTAAAATGGAGCATTAGCGTAGGCTTTTAATGCGTTTACAACTGTTTTCAAAGGAGATTATAATTATAAAATTTATTGAACAGCCATCATCAATTTCACAGTTATATTATTTTCTTTTTTAAGATTATTCCAATTTAAAATTATAATATTTTAATCTTTTAATCCTTCTAAAATAGTATTCTATACTTCTAAATCAGTAAATCCTGAAATGAATAAAGTAACTACAGATGATTACTCCAGTTCAGATGAACGTATTTCGAATTCAATTCTTTCTGGAATACAAATATCATTTAAATAATTTTTCTATATTTCACTCATTAAATTTTTAATATACCTTATTTAACTATTAGTTTAAAAATTTAATATCCTATAAAATAAAGTATTTCTTTAATAAAATTATTCTTAAAGAAATTCTTAAGTGTAATTGTATTAATCATAAATTTTTATGAAGAATTAATGACCTTAAATTACTACAGATAATTCCATATTTTATTTCCTTTTTTCAAGTTGATTAAATATTTAATTTCTAATATCTTCAATTATAATTTCAAATCTTTTAATTAAATTACTATTAAAATATCCATAATATCCTTCTTTCATTAAATTAATTATCTTCATCAAAATATTTTTTTTTACTGATTAATATTATGAAAACAATAATTAATCATTCACAAAAAAAGTATCATTTAAGAAAATGAATAGATCAAAAATTAATTATAAATTTTATTATTCTGTAATATCATTTTTCCAAAAAAGTTTCGCCTATTCAATTTATTTAAAATAGATATTTTTTAATTGTTTTATAGTGTATTTAGCATCTTATGAACTATTTATTTTTGGAATTTCTGTATATTAAGATAACAAATCTAAAATATTTAACATTTCTTTTGATTCCAAATCAGTTTATAACAATAAGTAAAACAATTAGGTAGCAAATTCTTTATTTTTTATTAAGAGAAAGTCTTTCTTCTAAAAATATTCATAGAAAAGTTAATTAGATTTTAATTTTAATTCTTAATGAACCTTTTCATTTTTCATAAAGATTTGAAGAGAAGATTTTAATTTAAATAATTAATGATCAAGTGTTTTTTATACATATCTTGATAAAATAACATAAGATAATTTAAAATTGTACAAGTTTTATAATTCATCATGCAAATATTTATAATTTTAAGCAAAAAGATTATTTATCAAATCCTTAATTTAAAATAAAGGAATTTTATTTTCTTTAATTATTGTACAAGTTCCATCCAAAACAGGATTGTTTAATTAATTTTTATAAAACTATTTGATTTACTTGATTAATTTATTGTAAATCTCTCTCTATTATTTTTTTGCAGCTTGAATTATAGAATAGTAGACTTTTCTAAAAATGTTTTAATAGTTTTAAACAAATTCTTAGATAATAGATTCTTAAATAAATTATCCCTTAATATATTCAATATAAATTGAAGTAAGCTCATCAATTGTTTAATTAAGTTTTTAATCATTGAATTATTCAATTTCTGTATTCTAAAGATAATTAGGTAAATTGTCTGATATTTAATTTAAGTTTATAAAACAACATCCATATTTTTCAGAATAAAATTATTAAAATATCTTTGTTATATTTAATTATTATGTGAATTGATATTTAGATAAGAAATCTTAAATTTCCTTTTAGCATGACTAATTTAATAAAATTGATTTTCTTTTTATGGTTTCTAAATTTTCTTACCCTTTAAATAATTAAGAGTATTATTAATGATTATCTATTGAATAGTTTTCTGCATCCATCACTGATTTATTTGTTTACTTTGTATATGAAATAAATTTTCGTATTTCTTAAGGTAGAAATAGTTCAGCTTTTTAAATGTATTGAATCATAATTAATATAATGATTAATAATTAATTAATTATAAAAATTAATAAAAAATCATGATTATTATATTATTTCTGTTTGTGCAACGTGATTTTAGGATATTTTTATATTTGCATTTTTGCATTATATTACAGCTGTCTATTGAGTACATAAATAAAAATGATCAGGATAATGATTAGCCTGTTTATAAAATATTAATTTATCTTTTTTCAGATTAAATGTCCATTAATCATTCTCATATTTTAATTATTAAATAATGGAATCATATAATGAAGCTTATTATAAGTAATCATTAAAAATATCCATTTTATTATCCTAATTTAAATTATAATAATTTTCATTATTGGGATGAACAATTACATCAAATTCACATGAATATATTTTAATTCTTATGGCATTTTTTAATTATTTTAGTTATTTTTATATTGTTTCCAATAAATCTTTAGTATTATTATATTCCTACAATTAATTAGGATCATCTTCATCCATTAAACAATATTTATAGATATTTTAGTTTATAGTCTATTATTCATCCGATTAAATTCCAACAACAAAAGTCAAGTCAAATTATCTATTTTGATTATTATCAAAAAAATATCTGTTATTATTATTTTACACAGAGAAATATCTGATCAAATTAGGTTCCATTTATGTTTCAAAGGCAAAATTATTAGACTCACTTAATTTAATAATATCATAATTCATAAACTTAATTAATAAATGAAACATACATATGTCGAAAAGGATTGTTCTGATATATCTCTGAAAAGGACATTATGCTTATTTAGTACTTCTATATTATTTTTCTTTAATTTTTCAGCAAGAAAAAAATGATTAATATTTTATTCTAATTTTTATTAATTAATAGCTTCCATTGTTTAAGGTAAACTTATTTCAAAATGAAGTGGAGAGAGATATTAATTATATACATCACATACTTAAAGTGACTTTTTTTCATTATTTTCATTCATATATGAAAGTTCTTTAAGAGAACCCATTAAATAAACTATTAATATTAAATAAAGTAATACAAATATCTTTGTTTAAATGAAAGCAAACTTTTATTTATTATTATGCTGCTTTTTCTTCTTTAGAATTAGGATTATAGGAAGAGATGAAAAAATCTTTGACTATTATTTATTAATCCTAATTTTCCTGATAAACTTGATGCATGTATCGATAAAAAGATTTCTCAATAGTACTCAATGGGCTTCTCTAAAAAAAGTATTTTTAATTAATTTGTTCACGAATCTATCGAGGCAATTTTTGATATTCTTCTAAATTGCTTTAATACATTTTTTGATCAAAATATTAAAAAAAAAATATTTGATTCTTAAATAAAATTAAGTATGTGAATAAGAAAAATAATAAAAATATTCTATTAAATTTCAATTGGATTCATTAAATTATTCATTCTATTTATGTTATTAGAATATTGTTAAGAATTAAAAAACGCTTAACTCATTGTTTCTTTTGTTTTTTTTTATAATTAACTCCTCCAAATTTCAATCGCTGTCAAATATAGATAGAATAATTTAATTACTGTTTAGATTGGATATCAAATGCATACATAAATAATTGATATTTTGGTAACAAAGAGAATAGAAAACTTTTTTCATCTCCAAAATAAAGAGATATTTAATCTTTGGATTGTATAAGATTCCTATTTATATAATAAAATAATTACACATAGGATCTTTCTATCTTTTCCTCATAAAATGAGTTTCAATAGTTTCATCAATACAGTCTATTAAAATTTATCATTTTATGTTTCATCTTCTCTATTCTTAAACAAAAATAATAATGATTATTATGAGACTATTATGATTTCAGTAATTTATTCTAAATCATCATTAGTAACTGATGATGGGAATTTTAAATCTATTTAACTATCCCATTAAAATCAGGTGAACTCATTTGCAATAAAGCAAGTACTTAATCATTTAATATAAAACTAGATGAAGTTAATTTCGGAATTGCATAATTTAAATAAGGATTAATGAATTTCTTTGTAAAATATTTTTTACACATTTTATTTGCATAAATCAATTACTATTTTACTAAACCTATAAATTAGTTGAATGGAATAGCTGACTTTTATTAAAATGTAGAAATAGCAACACTTCTTGCTGCTAAATATTTCTTCAGCTGTTTTTTATGTCTTGATTAGAATAATACATATTCAATAATTCTTTAATAGCAAGACTTTCCTAGAATATATAATAGTTTAATACCTATTTATTGATTCTTTTTGATTCTTAAGATACCCTAAACTAATTAAAGCAAATAACTCAAATGTTTCAAGTACTCTAAACTTATAATCACTAAGATAATATTCTTATTATTCTTTTAGTAAGAGTTCCACTTAACATATAAATTACATGTGATGACAAAATTAGTATAATAGATTTATTAATTCTTTCATCTTTCTCTCATTCAATTATATTATTTAACAGAAAAGTCTGGATTCTCATGGAATTTTGTAAGCTTTCATTTCTATGTCAGGAATCCTTTTCTATGTGATTAGGATGGTTTACTCACATAGAATCATGACATTTCAATAATTCAAAAATATACTTCAAGGATTTCAAGTTGTTAATCTGTAAATGCTACTTTTGTATGTTTCTTTATAGATTTAGATTTAGATCCTCCCATAAATAATAAAAAATAATTATTTATATTAAATATGAATTCTCAATCATCGTCTGATCCACTTTCATCTTCATCTGATTCCTATTTCTTTTATTTCTTTTGAGCTTTTTTGGATCCCTTGCCATCTTCCTTCTTCTTCTTTCTTTCATTCTTAATTTTTCCGTATTTATCCTCATAGGTTCTATTAAAATATATTAAGAAATGAGAACTTCTTTTCTTTTTCAAATATAGCCTTATTGTCTTTGTATTTTTATTCGTATTAATCAATTTTATCTTTTGGAAGTTGTTTGTACTATTCAGAAATGATTTTTGTGATATCGGTCATTTTCTTGCCGGGATGAGCATCCTTGACTTATTAGTACACCTCCTATTTGTAAATAAAGAAGGCACATTAGGGTCTTTTTGGTGGAGCTTCCTAAACAAATTATTAATTTATATATATACCTTTTTATCTGTCATTTGTTTTAAGCTAATGTATTTTCTTATTTAAATTGAGATTCAATACTTTTGTTTTAATTAAAATTTCAATAAAAAAAAATCCAAATTCATTTAGAATTAGCCAATAAAAACGCTACACATGATTTTTAAGCAGTTGTTCTTCAAACTTATACCTACCATAATCAATAGACAATAATAATCTCAAAATTATAAATTTTAATGGTTTTTTAATGAATTAAACATGTCTGTCTTGAATAATGCTTTGGAATTGTATTTATCAATCAGATAAAATGCTATTGAATCTGAAAAAAAGCAAAATCAATTTGAAATATGAGTACTTTCTATTTTACAATAAAGCAATTTTAAACATATAATCATAATACATTTGTTTAAAATTTATTAAATGCATTAAGATTTTAGAAATCGTCCAATAAATGTATATATAATATGATAAAAAAATTTATCAAATTAAATACTTTTAAAATATTTTCACCTTTTTTTAAATTATTTTATTAGTGAAACATAAAGTTGATTATTTTTTAAATATCACATTAAGTCTTATAAAATATATTTATTAATGAATTTTTAGGAAGCTATTTAATATTATTCATATTTGAATCCTATAAATAATTATTTAATATATATATATATTATGAAAAGAAAAGAATGTGTGAAGGTGGTTGTAAGAGCTAGACCATTGTCAAGTAAAGAAGTATGATAAATGATTTATTTTAAGATAGAAGACGGTAGAAAGAGAATAGTAGAAGTTGATACAACAAGAAAAGAAATCATTATTTAAAATATAAAAGGTGATGGAAATGAAGCATAAAGAACATTCGTTTTTGATGAAGTTTTTGATATGAATTCACAATAAGAATAAGTGTATCATAATACAGCTTTGCCTATTGTAGAAAGTGTCATGGATGGGTAAATTTAGAATATATTATAGTTATAATGGTACAGTTTTTGCTTATGGTTAAACTGGTACTGGAAAAACTCATACAATGGAAGGTAAGAATGATCCTCCTCATGAAAGAGGTATCACTCCAAGAACATTTGATCACATCATCAAAGTTATTGAAGGAACACCAAATATACAATTTTTAGTTAGATGTTCTTATTTAGAATTGTATAATGAAGAAATTAGAGATTTATTAAGTCCAAATCATCTCACTAAACTAGAATTAAGGGAAAAACCTGAATAAGGTGTTTTTGTTAAGGATCTCTCTAAAATAGTTGTAAAATCTGTAGCTGAATTAAATGAATGGTTAAAAGCTGGTAGAGCTAATAGAAAGGTTGGAGAAACTAAAATGAATTAAGAATCATCTAGATCTCACTCAATATTCACACTTACTATTGAATCAAGTGAATTTGGAGCAGATTAATAATAACACATTAAATCAGGAAAATTAAATTTAGTTGATTTAGCTGGTAGTGAAAGATAATCAAAAACATAAGCAGTTGGTGTAAGATTTGAAGAAGCTATTAATATTAATTTAAGTTTAACAACACTTGGTAATGTTATAACATCATTGGTTGATGGAAAAAGTTAACATATTCCATACAGAGATTCTAAATTGACTCGTCTTTTATAAGATTCTTTAGGAGGTAATACAAAAACTGTTATGGTTGCAAATATTGGACCAGCTGATTATAATTATGATGAAACAATGTCAACATTAAGATATGCTAGTAGAGCTAAGAAAATTCAAAATAATCCAAAAATTAATGAAGATCCAAAGGATGCTATGATAAGAGAATTTTAAGAATAAATTAATAAATTAAAGGATGAATTAGCAAGGAAAGCCGGTGGAGTTATAGGACCAAATGGATAAATTTAAAAAATTAAAGAATAAGTAATTGAAGTTGAGGATGATGAAGAATTAACTGAATTGTAATAAAAGGCTTAAAAGGAGAAAGCTGATTTAGAATAATAAATTATGTAATAGAGAAGATAAAGTACATTATAAGAAGAAGAAAAGAAATAATTATAATTGAAATTAAAAGAGAAATAGAAATTAGAGCATAATCTTAAGAAAGAATAAGAAAATATGCATAAGAAACTTTAAGAACTTTAGGAATAATTGTTACATGGTGATAAAATGAAAGAGGAATCAAGATAGAAAGAAAAAGAATTATTAAAAGCAAGAATGGAATTAGAAGAGAGATCATAATAAGCTAGAAGATAAGCAGAAGAATTAGCAAAAAAAGAAGCTATGTAAATGGAATAAGAATAGAAATATAATTCAACTAAAGAAGAAATTGAAGCCAAAACATAAAAATTAAATAATTTAATATAAAAAATTAAAGAATTAAAAAGTTAAGCTTAAGAATAGACTTAATTTAGATAGAGATAGAAAGAAGAATTAATAGAGGATAATAGAGAATCTTTGAGATAATTAAATCTTATGAATCTAATAATTGAACATTTTATCCCTGAAGATGAAGGTATTTGATTAAATATTATTAATATAGAAAAGAGATTAAAAGATAAATTAGAATTTTCAGAAGAGTAAGATGATTGGATTATTAAGGAATTTGAAGCAAATCCATTAAAAAAACCAACATCTGCATTCTGTTTTAAAAGACCTATCTGTAATTTTTCAAGAATGGCAATCAATTTTGGAGATGCTAATCCTAGATATAGACCAGAAAACATTTTATAAACTGATCTAGATTTACCATAAAGAATGACTGAAGATTTTTCTCTTGAACCTTCATAAAAAATATAAGAAGTTTTAAATGTGGCTTTGAATGAAGATGAAGTAAAAATTTTAAATTATAAATTATTTAGGAAGAACAATAAATGATATAAAATGAAAAACAAGCTAATGTCTATATAGAAGATCCTTCAATAATCAATAAGGAAGCTATATTGAATCCTCCATCCAATCCTAATAAAGTTCGATTATAATCGGCAATTAAGAAGAATGCTAGAAGACCTTAAAGTGGATTTAAAAAATGAGATTATGGATACAAATAATTATTATAATAATATTTGAATCCTCAACTAATACATTTAATAAAATACTCTAATGAATAAAAAATGAGATTAATAAGGCTAATCTATTTATATCAATCAAATCGAAATCATAATCTATTTACTAGTCACTTATTCTACTTTTTATAGAAATTAATTAACTTATTGTATTATTTCAATAAATTTCCAATATTCAATTCACATTCAATTATCAAATTTTTTTAAATACAATACTTCTTTCTCTTATTCTATCAATATATCAATAAACTATATTAGAAGAATATTTATTCGCTCCTGCATTGATATAAATTCATATATTTTGTATTTATTAATATAAACATTATTAATTTTAATTTGTCAATATTAAAAAAACAATAATATATATATATATTTTCATCAAGAATTTAATGTTTAAATAATAATAGCTAATAAATATCAATCATCATTTTGTAGTCAAGTATTTAGTTTTCAACTAATCTAATTCGCTTTATACATAAATATGTTTTTTATTTGTTTCGTTTTACATTAGTTTTTTATGTAGTTCAATATTTTCTTATCTCAAAATATCTAGTTCCTTATTCATTTAATGAATTCTCAATTCATATTTACTCTCAGCATCAGTAATTGCTTATTTAACCGATTGATCAAGTTTCTTTTAATATTAATATTCTAATTCCTCTTTTTATCTCTATTTGACTAAATCATCCATCTATTATTATTATAAGTAATTTTATTTATTCTATTCTAGATTTATTTGGGCATCACTTGCTTATTTTAATGCTTATCTTGTAACATTCATCTATTCATTCAATTATTAATGAAGTTTCTTTTCATTTCCTACACTCTACTCTAATTTTGTTTTACAAGTATTGATCGTTAGAAGCTATTGTTTATAAATATAATAAATACATATTGGGTTTTCTCTTCCTTTAATTATTTCTTTTAATCTTTCAATCTCTAATACTCTTCTTAATACCATTTTAGTTATTTAGCTTATTCCTCAAATTGCTCTTTCATTTCTTTAGCTTTATCCTTTGTTGATTTAGTTCCAATTGATTCTTAAATCATACTAGGTTATCATACTTTTAGTTGTTTTTGAAGCAGTAGATTTTGGTTTGATAGAAGCTGCTAATGATTTTTTGCCAGAGGGTTAACCTTATGTAATAACATTTTAAAAATTAGATTATCTCATAGGTGAACAATCGATTATATCTTCATCATCAGATATTGAAATATTCACTAGTTATTAAGCATAGTCCTGTAGATTTTAAGTCATAATTAAGCTGTTATTTTTATTTTAATAATTATAATCATTCCTTAAAATTCATCTTTTTTTCTTTTGTATAAATACTTTACTTTACAAATAAACATCCAAAAACAGTTTATAATTTCGAAAATAAAAAATCTATAACAAATAAAATTAAAAAGATTAAGAAGTTCTTTTAATTTTATTAACATTTAAAAAATATTAAGAAAGTAAAATTTAAAAGAATACAAGGATTTTTTTAATAAACTTCTATTTATTAATTCAAAAACCATTTTTTAGATTTCAAATAAAGCTATCAAATAAATATTTAATCAAAAAA